TACCCCAGTCTCCCCTGCGTGAAGCTAGGACCCCCCCCTCACATACCCCAGTCTTCCCTGCGTGAAGCTAGGACCCCCCCTCACTCACTCACATACCCCAGTCTTCCCTGCGTGAAGCTAGGACCCCCCCTCACTCACTCACATACCCCAGTCTTCCCTGCGTGAAGCTAGGACCCCCCCTCACTCACTCACATACCCCAGTCTCCCCTGCATGAAGCTAGGACACCACCTCACTCACTCACATACCCCAGTCTCCCCTGCGTGAAGCTAGGACCCCCCCTCACTCACATACCCCAGTCTTCCCTGAGTGAAGCTAGGACCCCCCTCACTCACTCACATACCCGTCTTCCCTGCGTGAAGCTAGGACCCCCCCTCACTCACTCACATACCCCAGTCTTCCCTGCGTGAAGCTAGGACCCCCCTCACTCACTCACATACCCCAGTCTTCCCTGCGTGAAGCTAGGACACCCCCCTCACTCACTCACATACCCCAGTCTGCCCTGCATGAAGCTAGGACCCCCCTCACTCACTCACTCACATACCCCAGTCTTCCCTGCGTGAAGCTAGGACCCCCCCTCACTCAGTCACACACCCCAGTCTGCCCTGCATGAAGCTAGGACCCCCCCTCACTCAGCCACACATCCCAGTCGTCCCTGCATGCATCTAGGACACCCCCTCACTCACACACCCCAGTCTCCCCTGCATTAAGCTAGGACACCCCTCACTCACTCAGACACCCCAGTCTCCCCTGCATGCAGCTAGGACACCCCTCAATCAGAGTGGATGGGAAAACCCAACGTGAAACCATTTTTGCGGGCAAAAATAAAATCAATGGGGGGGGGAGTGACAACAAATTTTCTGCACCGGGTACCACCTGACCTTCCTACACCTCTGAGATTGCAATGTAATTGCCTCTCATATCAGAAGCTGGTTATCAAGTGCAGACCAACCAAGTGATGCACATGCACACATAACTGAGCCATAGGTCAAAACCCAGCTTTAACAGCATGATTTCAAGACTCAGGAGCACTTTCCAGGGTCTGAAAACACATGCCATCGCGACAAGAGATGTTGACATGCACAAACGTCAAGAGATAGATGTATGTATTGCCATACAGGCAATAAGAGGAGCCTTGTGTGTTATATATGGGTTGTAGGGAACAAAATACAGTGGTGCCTCGCAAGACGAAATTAATCCGTTCCGCGAGTCTCTTCGTCTTGCGGTTTTTTCGTCTTGCGAAGCACGGCTATTAGCGGCTTAGCGGCTATTAGCGGCTTAGCGGCTATTAACGGCTTAGCGGCTGTTAGCGGCTTAGCGGCTTTAAGAAAAAGCAAACAAACTCGCAAGAACTCGCAAGATGTTTCGTCTTGCGAAGCAAGCCCATAGTGAAATTCATCTTGCAGAACGACTCAAAAAACGCAAAACCCTTTCGTCTAGCGAGTTTTTCGTCTTGCGAGGCATTCGTCTTGCGGGGCACCACTGTACCCCAATTCTTCTCCCTTGCACCATAGTTGTCTCTCCATTCGGCTCTGACAGCTACGCCAGCCAGCTGCCACCATTGTGTTTCACAAGTATCACTGCTGGTGCAAAGCGTCCCCTTCTGTTCACTAGATGGGCAAAGTGCTGTTGGCAGGATGCCCAGCAACAGCAGTCAGCAGAAAGCCCCCAAATGGAGGGAAGGCCAACCTGGTCCCTTGCGTGTCATGTGATAGCACCAGGCCTGATGTGAGCCCAATTGCTGCACCCAACTGGTACAGAGATTACCCTGACTGCCCTCCTTCCAGAAAACCCTGTCAGGTGGCTGCCTTGGGTTTGGCTTGCCCCCTCAGTATGCAAAGGAGTCTTTTGCCACAAGCAAAGTGCAGTCATGCTAAAGAGTCACATTTAAGTGATTCTAATACCCGTGTTCAAAATTACTGTTGGAATAAATAGCACCTAGTATTTATAAAGAACTTGTCAGAGCTGCAAAGCATTTTGCATGCATTATATTTGTACAGTGGTACCCCGCAAGACGAATGCCTCGCAAGACGGAAAACCCGCAAGACGAAAGGGTTTTCTGTTTTGGAGGCGCTTCGCAAGACGAATTTCCCTATGGGCTTGCATCGCAAGACGAAAGCCCATAGGGAAATGCTGGCGGTCGGGAGCAAAGACTTTCGCCCACAGCCGGCCTTCAGAAGAGGACCTCTTCTGAAGGCCGGCGGGGGGCAAAAGTCTTTGCTCCCCCCCGCCTGCCTTCCCCCCGCCTGCCCGGGGCGATCTTAAAATGCTGGCGGGCGGGAGCGAAGCGTTCGCTGCCGACCCCCAGCATTTTAAAATCTCCAAGGGACAGCAGAGAAGTCTCTGTCCCGGGGAGGTTTTAAAATGCTGGGGGTCGGGAGCGAAGCGCTGCCGACCCCCAGCATTTTAAAATCTCCCCGTGTCCCGGGGAGGTTTTAAAATGCTGGGGGTCGGGAGCGAAGCGCTGCCGACCCCCTGCATTTTAAAATCTCCCCGTGTCCCGGGAAGGTTTTAAAATGCTGGGGGTCGGCAGCCCGACCCCCAGCATTTTAAAATCTTCCCGGGACACGGGGAGATTTTAAAATGCTGGGGGTCGGCAGCGCTTCGCTCCCGACCCCCAGCATTTTAAAACGCTGTTCCGAAGGGGGGGGTGGGGACACCTGCCCCAGCCGCCCCACTTCGGAAAGCTGTTCCGAAGCGGGGAGGGGGGGCGGGGACATCTGCCCCAGCCGCCCCACTTCGGAAAGCTGTTCCGAAGGGGGGAGGGGGGCGGGGACACCTGCCCCAGCCGCCCCACTTCGGAAAGCTGTTCCGAAGCGGGGAGGGGGGGCGGGGACATCTGCCCCAGCCGCCCCACTTCGGAAAGCTGTTCCGAAGGGGGGAGGGGGGGCGGGGACACCTGCCCCAGCCGCCCCACTTCGGAAAGCTGTTCCGAAGCGGGGAGGGGGGGCGGGGACATCTGCCCCAGCCGCCCCACTTCGGAAAGCTGTTCCGAAGGGGGGAGGGGGGGCGGGGACACCTGCCCCAGCCGCCCCACTTCGGAAAGCTGTTCCGAAGCGGGGAGGGGGGGCGGGGACATCTGCCCCAGCCGCCCCACTTCGGAAAGCTGTTCCGAAGCGGGGAGGGGGGGCGGGGACATCTGCCCCAGCCGCCCCACTTCGGAAAGCTGTTCCGAAGCGGGGAGGGGGGCGGGGACATCTGCCCCAGCCGCCCCACTTCGGAAAGCTGTTCCGAAGCGGGGAGGGGGGGCGGGGACATCTGCCCCAGCCGCCCCACTTCGGAAAGCTGTTCCGAAGTGGGGAGGGGGGGCGGGGACATCTGCCCCAGCCGCCCCACTTCGGAAAGCTGTTCCGAAGTGGGGAGGGGGGGCGGGGACATCTGCCCCAGCCGCCCCACTTCGGAAAGCTGTTCCGGCATGCCGGCAACTCTCCGCAAGCTGCGGCAGCGCTGCCGCTGCTTGCGGAGAGGTCTTCGAACCCTGGGCGGACATCTTTTGAAGGCAGGGGGGGAGCAAAGACTTTTGCCCCCCGCCAGCCTTCAGAAGAGGTCCTGGACCTCTTCTGAAGGCCAGCGGGGGGCAAAAGTCTTTGCTCCCCCCTGCCTGCCTTCCCGGGAGAGCGGAGAAACGCAGCACGTTTCTCTGCTGTCCCGGAGGGCTTTTGAATGCAGGCGGGGGGAGCAAAGACTTTCGCCCCCCCCCCAGCCTTCAGAAGAGGTCGGGGGACAGACTGTCCCCGGACCTGGTCTGAAGGCGGTTTCCCTAGGAACGCATTAATTGATTTTCAATGCATTCCTATGGGAAACCGTGCATCGCAAGACGAAAAACTCGCAAGACGAAGAGACTTGCGGAACGAATTAATTTCGTCTTGCGAGGCACCACTGTAATCCTTAAAACAGTCCAGTAAGTTGGGCTTATAAATCATGTAGAGATTTTATTACAACCAAGCAGTATATAATTTTTGTTAAACAAATAAAATTATTTCCCTTGTACTTTTGAGGGGCATAGTTCTTGCAATAAAAGCTAATCTGTTACATGTATTTGAGATTATTGAGGGCATTGAACTATTTTTAAAGAGCCTTGTTGCAGATTTTAGCCATATACCGTATTTTTCACTCTATAACACGCACCTGACCATAACACGCACGTAGTTTTTAGGGGAGGAAAATCCGGAGGCATGCCACCCGTAGGCATTTCCTCCATAACACGCACAAACATTTCCCCTTACTTTCTAGGAGGAAAAAAGTGAGTGTTATGGTGCAAAAAATACGGTAATTTCGTTTTATATACCGTATTTTTCACCCTATAGGACGCACCGTCCCATAGGATGCACCTAGTTTTTTGGGGGGGAAATAAAGAAAAAAATTACCCCCCCCAGCCACGGGAACTCCCGCAGGGCTCCCTAGGCTGCGGATATCTGCCCAAAGTGTGGGGCACTCTGCTTAACCTTTGCTTGGTAATCCTCAGATTATTTGCATGTTTGAGACTATTACTGTATTGCACATGGCCTTTTAGCAAGAACAGTTGTTGTATCTTTCTTGGTAATGGCCCATTCACTTGGTAAATCTGAACAATCTGTATGAAGGATGAATGGCATGGCCAAGTTCAGGTGGTTAGATATAAATAAAGTACTGATTCTGTCCAAACTAGTTTACGTTTCTACAAATAAATGGGATGTTCTATTGGCTATAGGGGAAATCATCATAAAAAAGACTCAGATCTCCAATTTAGAAAATACAATTTGTGACTTAATGAGTTGTGCCTTCTAAATTCCAGTTATTATCTGTGTGTGTGTGTGTGTGTGTGTGTGTGTGTGTGTGTGTGTGTATTGTAATGGTAGTGCCTGAAAAGATCCATGGAATTACAGAGCTACCTCGGGTTAAGAACTTAATTCGTTCTGGAGGTCCATTCTTAACCTGAAACTGTTCTTAACCTGAGGTACCAATTTAGCTAATGGGGCCTCCCACTGCCGCCACACCGCCGCCGCGCGATTTCTGTTCTCATCCTGAAGCAAAGTTCTTAAACCGAGGTACTATTTCTGGGTTAGCGGAGTCTGTAACCTGAAGCGTCTATAACCAGAGGTACCACTGTACCATGTTCTGTCCACTTATAATGACATAATTTTGTAATCAGGCCCTAGCAGTTTTCCCCTTTCTAAATCTCATGCACCGAATGGCCTTAGGCAAAGCACTTCTTTCAGATTCAGCCCCCACACCTGCAATATAGGGATAAGAATGTGGACCTGCCTATACGGTTGGCGTGGTAAGACTTACAAGATAATTATGTGTTACGTACTATGAACAGTCTTGAGTGCTATATATAAAGATGCATTTATTGAAAAAACGGTTTTACATAGAAATCCTTACATTCTTACTGATTGAATACCTTAAATTTGAGGATACTTGTGTGGGGGGTTTTTAATGGTCAGGATAGGATGGGGAAAACAAGGGTGACCAGATTGCTGAAACAAAAGTTAAGATCAGGTGCTACTAGTGATACCAGGGATACCGGTGCTACTGGTGATACCAGGGATACCGGTGCTACTGGTGATACCAGGGATACCAGTGCTACTGGTGATACCAGGGATACCGGTGCTACTGGTGATACCAGGGATACCGGTGCTACTGGTGATACCAGGGATACCGGTGCTACCGGTGATACCAGTGCTACCGGTGCTACTGGTGATACCAAGGATACCGGTGCTACTGGTGATACCAGGGATACCGGTGCTACTGGTGATACCAGGGATACCGGTGCTACTGGTGATACCAGGGATACCAGTTCTACTGGTGATACCAAGGATACCAGTGCTGGTGTCTGGATGTATTATTTGTAGCTGTTTCTTTTTCAGTACGATTCTCCCAAGTTGGTAAATGGCTCCGAAAGGGATCATCAAACATGGTACACTTTCCAGCATGATAGAGATGACGACAGCCCAGGGAGGATACTTTTTTGGCTCTTTTGCAGGAAAATATACCTTTGGGAGAAAGGAATGTATTGCATGAAAGCCACACTAAACAGCACAATTTTCTATGTGTTTACTCAGAAGCAAATCCCATCAAGTTAAATGGGGATTGCTCCCAGGTAAGTGAAGACAGGAATTACAGCTTGTTAATACTTCAAAGAGGGAGCTAAGCAAAGGTTGGCAATATTCCAAAAGGGAAAGGGAAGACTCCTGAGTTGCATGCAGTGTAGGGCTAAGACTATGGCTTCATCAGCACAAGGATGTCTCCTCACATGATGGGATGTACTCCTCCTCCTCTCCACTGGTGCACCCCCTAAATACCTTCTAGGGATTTCCCAAACCCTCTGGAGCAGGCATCTCCAAACTCGGCCCTCCAGGTGTTTTGGGACTACAACTCCCATCATTCCCACCTAACAGGACCAGTGGTCAGGGATGATGGGAATCGTGGTCCCAAAACATCTGGAGGGCCGAGTTTGGGGGTGCCTGCTCTGGAGCAAATTTTGGGATGCCATGGGAGGAGGAGAGGGGAGGTGCTAGTGGCCTGTTGTATCTAACAAAAAGCAATTTTTTAATGAATGCTCACTCCTGTCACACGAAATGGTAAAATCTCTCTGTTTTTAGGTAGGCTGGGACTTGATAGCAAACAGTTACCATCAAGGCTGATCATCTGAAAACTCATGAAGCTGAACAGATCTGGGACTGGTCAGTGTCTGTATGGTTGACTAGCTAGGAACCACATGGCATCCATCTGTCTTGGGAGAAAGTGGAAGAGTGTGCCATTGTGGGTAAAGTCAAACCATTAGAGAGTTACAGCACCTACTGTGGCTGTACAGAAAAAGCATGTTTGCTGCTACAGGTGCGCTATGGCACTCCTTTCTGCGTCCCACCCCCAGTGGTCATTCCTCCTCTGCCCACTACTGTGGATACACACCCTGACTGTCTTTCTCCAGGCAATACCATCTTGTAATAGGTTCATACGCAAGTTTGCTGGCTCACTACACGTACAGCAGACACACACCTCCTGTGCCCCACAAAGAAGAAAACAGCCCAGCAGGCATGTAGGGTTCTGTAAAGCCTGTTTTAGCTTGGTGTCCTAGATGGCAAGATCCAGGATCACTGTCAAGCCCTTGGTGGGCTGTAGTATATGACTGATGGCATCTTTGGGCTTGGTGTGAAAAGGATGCCTGTTTATTCAACCTGCTTTTAAGTTGCTCTTCAGGAATGCTCTTAGAGCAGCTTACAGCAGAGTAATAAAATCAAAATGTAAAACCATTTATTAAATGTGCGGCTGAAACAAAAGAGGCAGGACATTAAATAAAAAGGCCAACATAAAGCATCCTCAGTTGATTATACTTAATAATTTATAATTCTATTATTTATACCCCACCCATCTTATTGGGTTTCCCGGGCCACTCTGGGTGGCTTACAGCATATCTTAAAAAAATCAGCATTAAAAATCTGGTGAGGTTAATTAGCTGCAGGACCCCCTGTAAGCCCTAGTGAAACATCAGTGATAGCCCAGGAATTCTGTGCTGAAGCAGAGCTTCTTTATCAATTCAGGAGTTGAATTGAGATTCAGGAGTAGCAGCAAGATTGGAGTGAGAGCTCAATCCCCCCCCCCATGAATGCAAATTAGGGAAAGATTTGTAATGACTTGTATAAAGGTAACTTACATAATTTGGGTTCCAAGTATTGTAGCTTGATGGTGGCTCAACTAGTACATAGGACAAAAAAATTAGGAACATTATCACTGGGGAGAAAAATTGCCATGTTGCCTTCCAATAGCCTTTTAGTGGTCTTCCTATCATATCTTTCACATCTGCACTGAATCTGTTAATGAAATGGATACATTTAATGAGTGATCTGTGGACAATTCACTTGCATGCAACCTTATTAAAAAATGAAGCCAGCTAAACTTCTGTTTCTCCTCTGACCGCATGCCTGCTCATCACTTGATGAAAGCAGGAACAAGTAGAGCAGCTACATAAGCATCACTCAAAAGAGGAAAACACAAAGAAAAGTGGATTCAGGCTGGCGTAAAACGTTTATGTACTAATTTAGAAATGATTTCTGTGACTGAAATAGAAATGTATTACATGTCTCCATAGTGAGGAAGACTGACCAGCTAGCCTGTTCCGTCTCCTTTCTAGGCTTTAACTGCTGGTGGGAAACTTTGAAGCCTCTGCTCTCCCTGCCTAGAGTTCTTAATCTTTTAAACCAGAGGGATTTTAAAATCAAGGACTCCCTCAAATAGAGATCTATCCTCTCTGACAGCTGCTTGGGCTGTTAAGAAGGCCATATGCACCCTCCAAAATCAAATGATCTTTTACACAAATGAATTAAACACAACAGGTAGGAAACCTTTATCCTATTGCAAATTTTGGGGTGTATACCCCCAAATTATGCATAAGGCTGCAAACCTTAGCTGGGATCTTATTCCCACTGTATGCAATGGAATTTATTTCTGAGCAGGGGTACATACTTCAAATACAATAACCAGGTATCTTTTGCTGAACCTAGGCCAGTAAGAGATCTGGCAGACACCCTCACTTTTGACTTTCCTGCCTTTCTTAAAGATCAGGCCTTCATTGCTTTTTAATGTTTAGATTGACCAGCCACTTCCATAATTATTGGTACTGCTTGTAATTGTATTGTATGTTGTGCATCACCCCAGTGTTGTATTTGGCGGTTCAGAAATGCTTTTCTAAATAAATAGACTAAATAAAGGTTTCTTGCTTAGAGTGTTGTTTTCACAGGATAAAGGAGGGAAATGGAAGTGTCACACCTCACCAGCTTATCAATGGGCTTGGTTCTCATGATCCCTCTGATGAGGGGTGCTGGTAAATCTGGGTCCTGGGCCATACCACTTCAAACAGCAATGGCTGTTGGCGACGGTACCTCTTCAGACTGAATGCCCCTCATATTAAACATAACGGCTCCCCCCATGGATGAGTATTCAGTTTTGAAACACAACTCACTAAAGCAGTCTGAAGCACTCCAGATTAGACACCAGTTTACCTTGTAAACCCTCTTCAAGCATTAGAGTTAGTTTCCATGTAAGTGGGGGAGCAGGCCGGGGGGGGGGGACACTCCATCACTAAAAAATCCTGATTTGCATTACAAGATGTAGGTGGATTAGGCTAATTTTCCTGAGAATTTTCAGGCATTGCAGAATTTGTCTAAACAAATCTGCAGTTAAGTTTCACTGGGCTATGCTGAATCAGCAGTTCTGTTGAACCACCTAGTTTCTCCATAGTGTGTTCGTTTCTTAATAGAAATGCTTATGAATACAGCCTCACGTGTTCATCTGCCTTGAGTTGCTTGTGCACCTAAGGGCTTATCCAGATAAATATGCGAAGAAACATAGCCATACCTTTTTATTCCATAAATAAACACAATACCGATCAATTCAAAGAAAGTGATGATGAGCAAAGGCAAGGTCCCGGCATAGGCGTCAAACATCTCAAGCCAGTAGTTTCCTGATCTCAGAGCAAAAAGCAGGCCCAGCAGAAAAGCAGAAAGGCATATTAAACCTACAGACAACAACATTCATTAGTCAAATTACATAAAAGAAATAAAAGAAAACCTAACCATTGGTGTTTACATGTGCGTTTATAATCAATCCCAACACGTCTGTTCCGTTCTTGCCAAACACCCAAGTTTTGCCACTCACCTATCCTTAATGGTCAATGAGTGCAATGTGGTATCATTAAGACTGTACAGTTTCTGCTCACCAGGTTATTGTTATTGTTGTTATTACTGTTTATTAATTTATATAGTGCCCTTCGGAGCTATCAGGGCAGTTCACAAGATAAAAATACAGGATAAAAGCACAAAATAAATAGAACAGAAATGAAACAATCACCCCCGCTCACACAAACACATTTAAAAGGCCATAGAATTAGCCCAAGATCTGGTTGAAGAGGAATTTTTTTGCCTGGCTCCTAAAGATGTATAATGAAGGTGGCAGCCAAACCTCCCTGGGGAGGTTAATGAAACTGGAAAGAACGTATCTTGAAACAACAGTAGCAACTATAAGAATGAGAAATGAGCCAGGATATTCCCCCATCGAAATACTGTCTTGCCCACGAACCCTATCTCAGCCCCAACCTGCAATACAGAGATAATGTTAAGCTGTTGTTGTTTTTGATTGCTGAAATAATGTAGGTGAAGCACTTTGAACCGAGTAAAGCACCGTATTACTCTTGAGCATTGTTATCAGCAAAGAAAAGGATTTGAGGAAGATGCCTTACCACATATAGCCTCCTTGTATATGTATCTAGACACAGTGCGAGATTCTGTGAAAGGCGTCAAGATACTTTGAACGAGTCCAAAAATGGAAGATATACCAAGACTGAACAGCATAAGAAAATACATAATCGCCCAAGTGTTCGATCCAGGCATCTTAAGCATGATTTCAGTGAACACAATAAAGGCCAAGCCGGTTCCAGAAACACTCTGCAAAATTCACAAATAATGGTAAAAACTGTCAGATTGATTTCTGAGTGTCATTTATTCTAATGCAGAGGCAAAATGTTGTATTACTCAACATTTAGCCATCACCTGGAGTAGCATACAGCCATTACCAATTACAAGTTCATATTGGGGTGGGTGGGTGAAACAAAAAACCCTCGTGACCTTGACCTTCAACACCTGAGATGTGCATTTTTAGGACTCAGCATAAAGGTAAATGTAAAGGGACCCCTGACCATTAGGTCCAGTCATGGCTGACTCTGGGGTTGTGGCGCTCATCTCGCTTTATTGGCCGAGGGAGCCGGCGTACAGCTTCCGGGTCATGTGGCCAGCAGGACTAAGCCACTTCTGGTGAACCAGAGCAGTGCAGTGGTATTAAGTTGCCGTAATCTGTTTTTAGTGTTGCATTTTAAATTGTTGTCACTTGCCCTGGGATCTAAGGGTGAAGGAATGGTAATAAAAAAAAGCAGCCACCTAAGCTCACAGGTTGCTTTCTGTAGTTCTTTTCATGCTCATACGTGCAGACACAGGTATGGTTTCTGTGTGTCTCTGCAGAATTATAAGGGGAAACTTCTCAAGCTGGACTAGAGTTTTGGGGGGTACCCTGACCCCCATCTTCTGTGTGCAAGTATTTGTGGCTAAAAAAGTGGCCATGGAACACCCCAGTAACAGTAGTTGTAGGGGGGAAGGTAGATTGTGTTTCTTCGGAGATAACCAGGCAAACAACTTGTGGTTTCTGTGCACTCATACATATGGGCAGAGTAACAAGCTTGTTTACCAGAGACAGAGCAGCTTGTATGAAACCAAAGAGCTCTTCTGGAAGAATTTCCTGCCTGGGTCATCACATCAACGGTAACTGAAGAGCCAGGGCTGTGACCACCTTGCAGCATGGCAGAGGTCCAGCAGAGAAACTACAGAAAAATGCAGTGGAAGCTGCAGAAACCTTCATGGAATGTGACCAGAGAAGGAAGCTCCATTCATTCATCACGAAGCTGTTGACACAGTGTTGTGTGTCATCGCTTCCTCTCAGGTGAGGTTGCATTGCTCACCTGGCTTCCCAAAATACCACATGCCGATGTGAAGGAGAGGAGCAAGGCGGCAGGGAGGTTGGCATGGTGCAAGTGCAACAGGAGCAGCGGGTTGGCTCTGCCACAGCAGCCACCCTCGCCTTGTCCTCCTCCATAAGCAATGACAATGTGCACTGTTGGGAAGCTGGGAGAGCAACCTAGCCCCACTTCTGCCACCCTACTGGTCCCTACTCAATGCACTACCTGTCATGGCAAAAACCGCAAAATAGGTGCCTTGGCAGAAAAAGAGCATATGAATGCCATCAGGAACTAATGCCGTGTCTTTGGCAATAGCCCCAGCAAGTGGCATTGTTTTGGCGACTACAAAATCAGTGCATACTGTACTTTTACAACTGGATCATTTTGTAATGGAGTACGATACCTGATCAAGGAAATATTGGAGATCACAATTTGCCAGGTTGAGAGATGTAAGTTTATTGATATTCGTTCCGTTCAAGTAACTGAGCCAAAATGCGCCGCTGTCTACAGTGATGCTTTCGTTCCTGAATGCCTTGGTGATGTATTTAACATTTCTGTCAGTAAAGGCAGGAATGGTACAAATTATTTGCATTGCCACAGTCCCTAAGAAAAACAACAGCAATTTGCTTCAAATAGGGGCAGGCCAGGGGCAGAACACAACCCCCACACAAAAAGGAAGTTGCCTGTATACCTGAATTAATGATTATGCACATGGAACATGCAGAATTGTATACTTTGTGTTCTATGCTACAATCTTATTTTAATTCTGCCCTCTGGGGTCCCCTAAACTGGTTTAAAGGGGGGGGGAGAAATGACACTAAATTTTAGACAATGAAAAACAAAACAAATTGTGAACAGAGGGCTTGGACCAACACCTTAAATTGGTTCCTAACTGTGAAACTTGAATGGCTCACCTTTCCAAGCATTCTTCATAGGCCACTGTTGCTTTGAACCCCAGAATTGAAAAAACTGGGATTGACGCAAACAAAGAAGTCAAAGAGTTTATTCCTGCTATCATGACAGCATCCATTTCACAGTCATTACTAGGAAAAACAAGTACATAACAACCCGATTAAATGTTACAAAGGCCAGCACCGAGTCTGTAACTTCTAATGTTATACATTTATTATTTTATTTGAAGTACTTGTACTCTACTCTTCACTGAATATTTTCAATCCCAGAACAGTAAAAAATAGCAATAGTAGACAGATGGCATGATGCTGTTTTATACTCACAGGAACTTTATGGAGTAAAGCTATATTGAGAACATGCAGCCGCCTCAGTCACTTGCCTTCTGATCAAAAATAAAAACTCTCAAGTCAGGGCTCTGCAGCTGACTTCAGTGGGACTCATTAATCATAAATCTGCACCACTTCCCAGCGTGGCCGCGTGGCCACCCACTCCCCACCGGGGGCGGGGGAATTTGTCCCCCGTTGCCTGGGGGATCCCGGCCATGTCAGAGCCCGGCCAGCCAAGCCCCGCTGGCCAGGGGGCATGGCCGGGGCCGTTTAAATGGAGGAGTGAGCCAGAGGACTTCCTCTTTGGCTCGCTTCCTCAATCACCCGCCCTCCCTCCCTATTTTGCAGGTTAGGCTATGGCCTTGCTATGGACTTCGGTTGGTCGCCTTGGTTGTCCGAGGGGCCTGGTAGGAATTTTTCCACTTGGCAAATTGGCACTGGCCACTTAGTTTTCGCCTACCTCGTAGCAATCGTCACTACTTACCATAGTTTTCGCCATATAGGACGCACTTTTCCCCTCCAAAAATGAAGGGGAAATCTGGGTGCGTCCTATGGGGCGAATGCAGGCTTTCGCTGAAGCTTGGAGAGCGAGAGGGGTCGGTGCGCACCGACCCCTCTCGCTCTCCAGGCTTCAGGAAGACATCCGCAGCCTAGGCAGCCCACAGAGTTCCCGCAGGGCTGTCCAGGCTGCGGATAGCAGCTTGCTTCCCGGAGCGCCGGGCACGCTGAAAGTAGAGCGCCCCGTGCTTCAGGAACACATCCGCAGCCTAGGCAGCCCTGCAGGAGTTCCCCGCAGGGCTCCCCACGCTGTGGATAGCAGCCTGCCGCCAGGCACGAGAGGCGCTCTGAAGCAGAGCGCCCCTTGCGCCGGGCAGACATCCGCAGCGTGGGGAGCCCTGCAGGAGTTCCCCACAGGGTTCCCCACGCTGCGGATAGCAGCCTGCTGCCCACCGCAAGGGACGCCCTGAAGCAGAGCGCCCCTCGCGCCGGGCAGACATCGGCCAGCCCCACAAACTCAGGGGACAGCAGGGAGGCGCAGCGCTGCCATCCCGCTGTTCCTCAACCTGGTTCGGTTCCCCGACCTGGTTTTGGAGGGAAAATAAAGGGGAATTTTTTTCCCTTTATTCCCCCCCCCCAAAAAAAACCTAGGTGCGTCCTATGGGACAGAGCGTCCTATGGGACGAAAAATACGGTAGTTAGGGTTGCAGTTAGGCATTGTTTGACCTTGTGGGGGGGAGGGGAGGTGTGGCCATCACCTGCCCCTCCATGCTTAAGGGTATTCCATTAAGGGAACCCGGGGGTGTTGATCTAGTCCAGGGGTCTGCAACCTTTAAGACAAAAAGAGCCACTTGGACCCGTTTTTGAAGGAAAAAAAACCTGGGAGCCGCAAAACCATTGCGACATTTAAAACAAATATATCTCCGGAGCCGTGATCTGACAGCGGGCGGGAAGGTGACGTCGGGACGGTGCGTGACTAACGCACGCACCGCCCCCATGCGACGTCACAGCCAGTACAGCACTCGCCACAGTGGGGAGTGTCGGGGCGCACAATGCGCCTCCTCCCCTCGCTAGTATCCGCCCCGGAGCCGAGGCAAAGGTGTAAAAGAGCCACATGCGGCTCCGGAGCCGCGGGTTGCAGACCCCTGATCTAGTCTGAAGCCCGGCTGGGGGGCTAAGGCCTTGACATGACCCCGACGGGAACACCAGGGTGAGCTTGAGTTGGTTCGCATCGACAAGGCTCCATCTACCGGTGGCTTACCCTTACTGGACTTCCTGCACAATGGGCAGGAGTCTGATATAGTCAGGTCCAATCAATGCCTAAGCCAATACTGCTCACATTCTGTAATTTCAATAAAGTTGTGGCCAAAATTTGCCCAATAACATAAACCTAATATCCGTATCCTTGTGTGAGTTATTTCCAACGAGGGGGTGGCTGCGGGGTCTCAAGTCAGGGCTCTGCAGCTGACTTCAGTGGGACTCATTCATCATAAAGTATTGCATCTCAAACTTAGCTGAACTTTTCCCACTTCCACATTCACTCCCATCCTTCCTGCAGATGATGTGAAGATCTTCACACGAAGACATGCGTATGCAACCTACCGCTGTTTGTGTGCGACAGCCTGTGTACTGGGGCATCTGCCCAACTCTGACATTGCAGAAAGAACAATAAAGGGCATCTTTGGGACTCACACAGGGAGACATCAAGAGAACAGAGCCAACCGCTTTTCCTGGGCTCCAGTGTGGGTTGAATGAGAATTGAGTCTTGTCTCCAGAGATCACTGAGGCGCTATCTCATAGAAGTCAATTTGACTGCGTCAAACAGTTCCTCTCCACATTGTGAGTGAAAGCTAACAAAACTGCAAGATTATACCTACTTTGACGGGTTGTAGCTTGAATATGCTATGAGTCCCCCACATCCTAAAGAAAGAGAGGAAAAAATCTGGGTGGCTGCATCAAGCCAGGCACGTGGATTGTTGATCTTCTTGAGCTGTGAGAGAGACAGGGAGATATCAGGGCTAAAAACATTATTAGTCTCATAATTCCTGTGTATATTTCACTGATACAGGCCTTCCTGGCAAGCAGTGGAAAATTAGTGTGTTTTCTGAATTCAACAAATTCAGAACAGAACAATGCATTATACTGGCAAACAAGTGTTTCACAAACTGCCTGCTGGGGGCTTGTTGGAGGGGGAGAATCAGTGTGTAGGAGAGAGCGCTTAACTCTTTCCATGCTTGGCGATAGTCCCTTACAAATGCTCACTAGAGTGCTTTTACCTTCACTTGCGCATCTTCCAGTCTTGGACCCTGCCAGACGGAGAAAGAAAAAGCAGCCCAGGGGAGCATTTGTAGGGAAGAATTGGTGGGCATAGGGAGGATTAAGTTGCTGCCCACTGGCTTCCTCTGCAAATGCATCTCTCCATCTCTGCATTCGCCCCAGCATTACAAGTCAAATACAGAACTGGGACACCCCATGCTGGCACAATGAAGTGTAGTTCTGCCCTGTCTGCCAAAAAATATTATTTGACCCAGGGTTGTCTATATTCATGAATTTTAGAAAAGGGCACTTTTTACACAAGTTTCTGTTCTTCATAGATTCTAGAGGGAGTTAACAAAGTACAATTGCCAGAATATGTGTGGATCCCAACTAGTATTAAGTGGTAAACAAAGAAGCAGCATGGAGGAAGGTTCAGCCCGGACACTGAGATCCAGCGCCGAGGGCCTTCTGGCGGTTCCCTCATTGCGAGAAGTGAGGTTACAGGGAACCAGACAGAGGACCTTTTTGATAGTGACGCCTGCCCTGTGGAATGCCCTCCCTTCAGATGTGAAGGAAATAAGCAGCTATCTTCTCTTTAAAAGACATCTGAAGGCAGCCCTGTTTAGGGAAGTTTTTTATATTTAATGCTGTATTGCAGAGTGGCTGGGGAAAGTCAGCCAGATGGGCAGGGTATAAATTATTATTATTATTATTATTATTATTATTATTATTAGTCTAAAAGACCAAGTCAGATTTTCTGTACATCATCTGGAACACCAAGGATCAATTGAATAAATACTTGCATTAGGAGTCATGAAGTACACTAATCCGTGAAAGGCTCCTGGGAGAGTCACTCCATAAAGAAGGAATAATGTTAGAATTAGGTAAGGAAATGTAGTTGTAACATACATTGCCTAAGAGGAAGAACAAAGCAGAGAAGAAAAAAGTGAGTGTCAGGAACAGGTGAAGGCAACACCATGAAATATATGAGCACTTAAGGTAGATAATATTCTATTTTCTGTCTGGACTGTACCATTTCTGACTGTAGGCAGGTAATAAGATGATCAAATACATGCAAAAAAAACCCTCCTGCATATGGATTCTAACCTAGCTTCCTCCCAGACGCATTAGTTTTCAATGGGCAGGTGCCTTTTAAAAATATGATAGAACATTCGTTCATGTGAGCTGCCTTCTGTCTCACATGGTGCAGTCTAAAGATGGCTTTACCACCTCAGTAAGGACCAGGTCAGTGAAATACAGGTGTCTGGTAATAATCCCTGCTCACCTTTCCAGTCGATTCAATTCCTCGTACTGTACAAATGAACACAAGTAACCAGCAGGCTGCCAAACATAAAACCAGCCACCACTGAAGCGGACCACTGTTTGTAATATCCGTGCTTATGTTTAAAGTGTACCTATACCAGAAATAATTGGTAGGTGTGCTTTTGTTACATTCTTCAATAAGTTCTGAAATAACAAGCACAGAAGGCATTATCAAAACAGATAGAATCATAGAAGAGTTGGAAAGGATCCTGACGGTCAGGAATATGCAGTTGTCCCATTCTGTACCAATTGAGCGTGCAGATGGTATAAAGGTAAAGGGACCCCTGACCATTAGGTCCAGTTGGGGCCGACTCTGGGGTTGCGGCGCTCATCTCGCTTTATTGGCCGAGGGAGCCGGCGTACAGCTTCCGGATCATGTGGCCAGCATGACTAAGCCGCTTCTGGCAAACCAGAGCAGTGCACGGAAACGTGTTTACCTTCCTGCTGGAGCGGTGCCTATTTATCTACTTGCACTTTGATGTGCTTTTGAACTGCTAGGTGGGCAGGAGCAGGGACCGAGCAACGGGAGCTCACCCCATCGCGGCGATTTGAACCGCCGACCTTCTGATCAGCAAGTCCTAGGCTCTGTGATTTAACCCACAGCGCCACTACATTTTAAAAACTCCATTCCATGTTTTGTTTTGTTTTTAAGGAAAATGTGAACCTACCATAAACCCCTCTCTTCTGGAGTTTTAGACTGAGGTATTGTTTAGTTTGGGGAATAGCCTCCTCTTGATTGACAAACAGGGCTTCCCAAAAGAATGACATCAAGAGGAGATGCTTCACCTCAGCTCTTCCAGACCAAGCCTGGAACAAAACTCTCCAGCCCTACATATATTTGTGTTAGGGATGCGACTAGGCACAGCCCCGGGTGAATGGATATGTGCCTTATCCTCTTGAAGCTATTCCATGAAGGGGAAGGGGCAGGAATGGGGCCTTTCTTCAGGCATCAGTTCTCTCTGCACAGGAAGCTCTTGCTTTGGCATAACTAGTAAACTAGCCAGGAGTGGGGAACCTTTGGACTTCTAGCTGTCATTGAACTACAACTCCCATCAGTCCTAGCAAGCATGGCCTATGGCCCAGGATCGTGGGTGCTGTAGTGCAGTAAGAGCTGGAGGGCGTGAAGATCCACCACACCTGCTTTAAGCTATTGGCCTCATCTACACAGCACTTTAAACCATTATTAAACTAAGCTAGGCCTTAAACATGAACTTACTGCTGCTTCTTTCAGATGGGCAGGGTATAAATAAAAATATTATTATTATTCTACCTCTGCTGCATTACCAAGTGCTTCTCTCAGTTCATATCCTATTCCCTTTTGGTACAACTTACAAGTGCTGCTTTCTCTGTAATTCTGTCCTTTTGGAGCTGTAAGATTTGGGGTGTATGTTCACAGGATGCAACTGCAGACACATGTTCATGAGGACACAGCCTAACTAGGTGAGTCTTGGGGAGAGGTCAATTTAAAGTGCAGTGCATCTGGGTAGGAGGGGGAGCTAACCCCCCCTTCTTATCTGTGCTTTTTTATGCAAGAGGAGAAGAGAAGAATTGCATCCACACATTACCATTTACTCTTCCCCTAGTGCGCTCCCAATGGTGGATTTTGAATCCAGAGACATACAACATTACCAAAGATGTAGAGCTAGCCTGGAGATTGTTGATAAATGCTGCTATTGTGTGTGTTTTCCATCAAACCAGCTTCAACCCAAAAAGAATACTTAAGCCACATTTGATGTGCAGTTCAGCTGAGGTGTGTAACAGCGTATGCACAGATGATAGCACCATGAACGGTAAATGGGAGGATTGCAAGCGGGAGGGGAAATGAAGCAAGTAATGCACATTGGGTACAAACATCCCCATCCCGTCTCTGGTGTGCACAAATGCAACCTGACACACAGACACAGCTGATAATGTGTGCATAGCCTACACAGAAAAATGGGCACCTGTAGGGCTTTGTGTCTAGACCTTGCTTATCCCAATCTGTGGCTAGGGCCAAAGGAGGCATGGCAGGAACACACCTGGGTCTGACAGTTGCTGACTGTGGCAGAGTTGGACAAACAATTTAATGCAGTGATTGAAGGATACATAGAAAAGCAGATAGTAATAACAGAAAGCAGCAAGAGACTTGGGAACTCACCTGGTTTGCTTGTATCTGTTGGGCAGGAACTCCAAGGTAATGGGTTTCGGAAAGAGTTTATAAAATACCACAAAATCCAGGCCAAAAGCATATTGTAATAGAGAGCTACTAGGAAGCACACTATCACAGAAGTGTAACCTGTGGAATATACAAGCACATGCAGAACTGGCATGAACAAAGAAAATTGCTTTTTAACATACATATTGCAAGAGTCTGATTCACACAATGGAAAGATCAAATCCAATTACTACCTGAACTCTAGCAGTCTGGAAAACAATATTGCCCTGTGAATTAAACGTTGGTGCTAACAAACTAAGCAGTGGGGTGGGAGGAAGGCAATTCCCATTTTGCCTCAGGTGGTGAAATCACACAGGTTGCCCCTGAGTGGCTCTGTTTATCTTCCACACAGATAGGCATGCAACTGCCTGAGTTTACTACTACTGGGATGTGGGTAGCGCTGTGGTCTAAACCACTGAGCCTCTTGGGCTTGCCAATCAGAAGGTCAGCGGTTCAAATCCCTAAGACGGGGTGAGCTCCCGTTGCTCTGTACCTGCTCCTGCCAACGTAGCAGTTCAAAAGCATGCCAGTGCATGTAGATAAATAGTTATCACTGTGGCGGGAAGGTAAACGGCGTTTCTGTGCACTCTGGTTTCTGTCACAGTGTTCCGTTGCGCCAGAAGCGGTTTAGTCCTGCTGGCCACATGACCCAGAAAGCTGTTTGAGGACAAACACTGGCTCCCTCAGCCTGAAAGCGAGATGAGCACTGCAACCCCATAGTCGCCTTTGACTGGACTTAACTGTCCAGGGGTCCTTTATCTCTTACCCTACTGCTAATGGGTTTGCTATTACAGCCTCATGGAGCCTATGCATTTCCAGGAAGGAGCAATGATTAGAAGATTGTATAGTCACAAGTAAAGGCAGTTGCAGAAACCTACCCAGTCCTCCCAGGTAAGGTGAGATGTGCCACCAGACTTCAATGCTGCCTTTTCTCATGCGTTGCCCTACAGCTAATTCAAGAAAAAATATAGGGGTGCCTTCCAACAGAAACGCAATGATGTATGGAATCAGGAATGCTCCTAGAAACACAATTTCCAAGCATAGTTAGCTCATAACAGTGGCATAGCATGGGTTGCTGGCACCCAGTGCAGGCAAGCCCCTGACACTGACGGAGCACATCTCCAGCCAAGTGGGGCCTTGCTGTGCCAGCTGCCTGCAGGGGCATGTCTGGCCAGGCCAGGCCACACTGGGGATGCCCCTTGTCCCCTCCCTGTGCTCCATGGGCCTGGACTGCTTTGCATCCTTCACCAGGGTGGGGAAGCCAGTGCCTGGTGGGGGGTGCCTGGTTGTGTTCCCTCAGAATTCTACCCCTTGGCCCCACACACTATGCCACTGCTCATGCCCTCCTCCACCTCTAACTTTCTACTAGCATTATCTTTATACCAGCAGCATCTGTCAGGTAAGTATGTTGTACATAAAATAATTATTAAGTAAAGCAAAAAAGCTGTAACAGTTGATTGAGAGAGGATTTTTTTCCCCATATGGTGATAAACTGGGGGTAAGAAAACCTGGGGGGGGGCGCTACCTTAACTGCTATGGCACCCAGTTGTGGCTCTTGAGAATTTTTCCATGAAGGGACAAGGGTTCTACAGCTAATGATCATTAACTTCCTCCATTGGGGAAGCTGTGATGTTGATTTCAGATTCAAATTGGGACTGCCCCCGCCCCCATGCAAACAATATGAGGGGCAGGGAGGTGTTGTGGAGTGAGCTAATCATGTCCTTCCGCTTAGGGTCTGTGCAAAAAGGCAATAATATACAACTAATTGTTACAGGGGTTTTTGTGTTTTTTTACTGTGGCATGCATTGAAAGTGCATCTAATTGGTGGGGATTAACCTGCATAAATTAGACCTGCAGTGAGAGATGTAGAAGGTGAAAGTAATGAAAAAATGCTGCTTCATTGATTGAGAGTTCCTTGCTGCTGTTTTTGCACTTACATTTTAGCTAGTTTTTTTTTCATTTTTTTAAAAAAAATTCTGGAATGTAGGGTGGGGGGGGAGAATCAACTTTGAGGGAAATCAGCTAGAGTCAACTCAGGTGTTCATATCTCCCTTGGTCTACATTCTCAGGTGTAAATTATCTGCTTTCCTTGAGAAGAAGAAGAGATTGGCAAAAAGTTACAACCAGGAATGATGCTGCAAAGGAAGTTGCTCTTGGACAAAGTAGCTTGTTTCTAATCTCTTCAACTTTCAACAAGGAATAATACACATTTTAAAATCATTTATCAGAGTCAAAGCACAGAAACATTTAAAGAACTCTTATTGTCACAGTTGCCTAGAAGCAAGACTATTTGTTTTTCATGTTTCTTGCCAATAGAATTTAAATAAAAATAAAAATCCATCTCCATTTAGTCAGAGAAAGTAAATAACTCAGACACTAAATCCCTGCAGTGAAACCAAATCAATCAGTAACAATAGATAACAATTCCAACAAGACTTAAAGCTTGGGTTGTAAGTTATTCAGTAATACTATTAAGCGCTGCATGCAAATCAGAGTTGCAGTGAGGCATTGAAGTTAACAGAAAAATTAGGGACATATCTTTCCCAAATTCTCTGTCTTGTTATTTTGCTCTGGGCACATAGCCATCTGTCAATCAGAAGGAAGAGCAGGATGTAAATGGCATTATTTTTTGTTTTATTTAGCAATGAATTTCTCAAACCAAAAATAAAAAAGGACCCCTCCCTTTTACAGAACCTGTGATAGTCTCCTCCTTCTAGCTGTCATCTGCCACAGATGAGGCCATCAGGTGGAGAGTCGCAACATTTAAGTACCTTTACAGCTGCCTCTGCAGAGCCATTTTAGGCCACATTTGTTCCCAGCTCTGGCTTTTTTTGCCATCTCACAAAATCTCCCTTAATGGCTCACAACCCAGGCTAACACCTCACTGGGAGGCTAGCCTGGCTAGTCCAAGAATTAAAAGCACTGATTGAAATTTAAAAAGTTGCTGGATCCAGAGATTAGAGGGGTGTGGCACACCCCAAATACATATTCTTTTAGAACAAGAGGTGTTTGTCATAGTTTAGTCTGAACAATCATGCAACTAATCAATTAAAAGGTGAGTTTTCTCTTACCTCCTCCATAGGTTTGGCACAAGTATGGAAAACGCCACACATTTCCAAGACCCACAACAAATCCAGCACAGCTTAAAAGGTACTGGAATTTACTATCCCACTTGGGCCTTATGTACTCTTCATCGCTGCCTTCAGATTCATCAGTTTCCATCTTTACTTTATACTCTTCAACGCCGCCTTCAGGTTCATCAGTTGCCTTCTTTACTTTATCCTCTTCAACGCCGCCTTCAGGTTCATCAGTTGCTTTCTTTACTTTATACTCTTCAGCGCCGCCTTCAGGTTCATCAATTTCCTTCTTTACTTTATCCTCTTCAACGCCGCCTTCAGGTTCATCAGTTGCCTTCTTTACTTTATCCTCTTCAATGCCGCCTTCAGGTTCATCAGTTGCCTTCTTTACTTTATCCTCTTCAATGCCGCCTTCAGGTTCATCAGTTGCCTTCTTTACTTTATCCTCTTCCATGCCACCTTCAGGTTCATCGGTTGCCTTCTTTACTTTATCCTCTTCCATGCCGCCTTCAGGTTCATCAGTTGCCTTCTTTACTTTATCCTCTTCCATGCCACCTTCAGGTTCATCAGTTGCCTTCTTTACTTTATCCTCTTCCATGCCACCTTCAGATTCATCAGTTGCCTTCTTTACTTTATCCTCTTCCATGCCACCTTCAGGTTCATCGGTTGCCTTCTTTACTTTATCCTCTTCCATGCCACCTTCAGGTTCATCGGTTGCCTTCTTTACTTTATCCTCTTCCATGCCACCTTCAGGTTCATCGGTTGCCTTCTTTACTTTATCCTCTTCCATGCCGCCTTCAGGTTCATCAGTTGCCTTCTTTACTTTATCCTCTTCCATGCCACCTTCAGGTTCATCAGTTGCCTTCTTTACTTTATCCTCTTCCATGCCGCCTTCAGGTTCATCAGTTGCCTTCTTTACTTTATCCTCTTCAATGCCACCTTCAGGTTCATCAGTTGCCTTCTTTACTTTATCCTCTTCCATGCCACCTTCAGGTTCATCAGTTTCCTTCTTTACTTTATCCTCTTCCATGCCACCTTCAGGTTCATCAGTTGCCTTCTTTACTTTATCCTCTTCCATGCCGCCTTCAGGTTCATCAGTTGCCTTCTTTACTTTATCCTCTTCCATGCCACCTTCAGGTTCATCAGTTTCCTTCTTTACTTTATCCTCTTCCATGCCACCTTCAGGTTCATCAGTTTCCTTCTTTACTTTATCCTCTTCCATGCCACCTTCAGGTTCATCAGTTGCCTTCTTTACTTTATCCTCTTCCATGCCGCCTTCAGGTTCATCAGTTGCCTTCTTTACTTTATCCTCTTCCACACCGCCTTCAGGTTCATCAGTTGCCGTCTTTACTTTATGTTCTTCAACGCCGCCTTCAGGTTCATCAGTTGCCATCTTTGCTTTATGTTCTTCAACGCCGCCTTCAGGTTCATCAATTTCCTTCTTTATTTTATACTCTTCAATGCCACCTTCAGGTTCATCAGTTGCCATCTTTACTTTAAACTCTTCAACACTGCCTTTGGGTTTATCAGTTGCCATCTTTACAACCTCTTTTTTTCCTTTCACCACATATTTCTCCAATATTAGCAGCAGCCAGGCAACTGAACCACCTCACTCACCAAGTAAGTAGCGGGGGGGGGGAGCAGCAGCAGAGGTATTCTGAACAATGGATGGAACTTCCATCTGCGACATCACACCAAAGAATGCAGATATAACAACCTAGCAACCTACAGCCACACAAATCCAGCAACTGGAGGAACGTGTAGCTACGCTCCAAAGAATTAGAGAGCTGGAGCTCTTCTTGGAAGCAACAGAGAACACCGTCTCCACCAAGGAGGAGACAGGGGACACCCCTGAGAAGGAGGCTAGTTCACCAACACAGGTGCCAGATATATGGAGAAACGTGACTCAAAGAAGTAGGAGGCCCAGGGTTCGCTCTGTTTAGAAATACACAATCGCTTTGAAGTCCTCTCCCCTAGCATGGAAGATGAAGAACAGACTCCATTTGAGGATCTCTCCCTCAATATAGTTGATCAGGTATATGAAGACGAGCAGCAAAGTCAGTCCTCAGGGAATGTGCAGGCGACCTTGGAACGGACAGCTCACGGAAGAACCCCGACCAAACCTAAGAGGAGGAGTGTAGTGGTGATAGGGGATTCCCTACTGAGGGGAACAGAAGCAGTGATCTGTGGGCCTGACAAGATGTCTCGGGAGGTGTGCTGTCTCCCCGGGGCTAAGATCCAAGATGTAACTGAACGACTGCAAGGAATCATAAAACCCACTGACAAATACCCCTTCCTCTTGGTTCATGTGGGAACCAATAACACTGCAAGCAATAACCTTCAGAAGATCAAAAGAGACTACAAGGCTCTGGGCAGGAAATTGAAGCAAGTAAATGCACAAATTGTCATCTCATCTGTTCTCCCAGTTGAATGACATGGCCCAGGGAGAGAGGGAAAAATAGTGGAAGTGAACAGCTGGCTTCGCAAATGGTGTAAACAGGAACGGTTTGGATTCTTAGATCACGGACTGCAGTTTCTTGAAGATGGACTTCTGGCAAGCGATGGGCTGCACCTCACAACGGTTGGGAGGAATGTTTTTGCCAAAAATCTCAGAAACCTCATCAGGAGGGCTTTAAACTGACTAATGTGGGGGAGGGAGACAGTGCTCCTGAAGGTAGGAGTCTATCAATTGATGAAGATGATCATCCAAATGTCATAGACCAAATGGAGCAAACAGCACGCAGACCTAGTGGTGGGAGGAAAAAATCCTTAAATAAGAGACACGGGGGAATGATTAATGGACTTCAATGTCTGTACACTAATGCGCAAAGCATGGGAAATAAACAAGATGAGCTTGAGCTCTTGGTACAGCAAACTAAATATGGCATAATAGGCATCACTGAAACCTGGTGGGATAAGTCCCATGATTGGAATATAATAATGGAGGGATACAATCTATTTCAGAGAAACAGACCAGACAAGAAAGGAGGAGGAGTGGCGTTATATGTCAGGGATGTGTATACCTGTGAAGAGATCCAAGATTTCAATCTCTTTAAAAAAGGTGACAGAATGGATTGTGGAAACTATCAAAGACATCTATTAGCTGTGGCTGGCAAAATCCTTACAAGGATCTTAGCAAACCACCTCTTAATAATATCCGAGGTGACCCTTCCTGAATCCCAAAATGGTTTTAGACCTTCTAGGGGGACGGTGAACATAATTTTCACCGCTTGACAGCTTCAAGAAAAATGCGGAGAGCAAAACTAACCCCGTATATTGTGTTTATTGAACTGACTCAGGCCTTCAACACTGTAAACCGTAATGCCCTGTGGACTGTCCTTCTGAAAATTGGCTGCCCAGATAAATTTGTGATCATCATTCGGTTCCTCCATGATAATATGACAGCAACAACTGCAGGTAACAAGGGCTCTCAAAGTGAACCATTCACAGTGGGATCAGGTGTTAAACAGGGTTGTGTTATCGTCCCAACTCTATTCATTATTTCCATTTCCATGATCCTACACTTTGTTGAAGGAAAACTCCCCTCCGGAGTAGAAATCATATATCAAACAGATGAAAAGCTCTTTAATCTGAGCAGGCTAAAAGCAAAGAGTAAGGTTACCACAACTTCCATCATAGAGCTTCAGTATGCTGATGACAACTTAGTGTGTGCACGCTCAGAGGATGACCTCCAATCCATCCTAAATATCTTCACAGAAGCTTATGAAAACCTTGGCCTATCACTCAACATCCAAAAAACCAAAGTGCTGCACCAATAAGCAAAAAACAACATCTGTAGCGCCACAAATCCAACTCAATGGTCTAACATTGGAAAATGTTGATCACTTCTTCTACCTGGGCAGTTATCTTTCCACAAGGGCTGACATTGTTTCCGAAATCCAGCATCGCCTGAGCTCTGCGAGTGCAGCTTTCTCCCGTTTGAAGTGCAGAGTCTTTGAGGACCAGGACATTCGCAGGGAAACCAAAATGCTTGTTTACAAAGCTATTGTACTACCAACCTTACTGTATGCTTGTAAAACATGGAGCACCTATAAATGCCATCTCCAACTCCTCGAAAGATTCCATCAACGGTGTCTCCGAAAAAAATTACACGTTACCTAGGAAGACAGGCGAACTAATTCCAGTGTACTGGAAGAAGCAAAGATCACCAGTGTCGAAGCAATGATTCTACAACATCAACTTCACTGGACTGGTCATGTTGTGTGGATGCCTGATTATCGTCTTCCAAAGCAACTACTCTATTCTGAACTTAAAAATGGAAAGTGTAATGGTGGTGGTCAACGAAAGAGGTTTAAAGACTCTCTCAAGGCAAATGTAGTAAAAAAACTGACAACTGGGAAACACTGGCCTGTGAGCACTCCAACTGGAGAACAACCATCACCAAACGTGTCATGGGCTTTGAAAACGCTTGAACTCAGGACGAAAGCAGGAAACATGCTAAGGGAAAGGCACACTTGGCAAATCCACACCGTGATCAACTCCCGCCCAGAAACCTATGTCCCCACTGTGGGAGGACGTATGGATCCAGAATTGACCTCCACAGTCACTTACGGACTCACTGTTAAAACCGTGTTTATGGAGAACAATCTTGCACAGCTACGACTGATCGCCAAAGAAGAAGAAAAAAGAAGCCTTAACAGAGATTGTGATCAATCATTTAATTTCAATTAGTAAGCAATTTAGAGCAGCTAATTCATTTTCCCTGAGGGGAAAACAAATTTTCTTCATCTGCCCCAACAAGATATTCAGCAAATAGTCCTTGTGGGTAAGGTTGCAACTGTGGATTGGGCAATCAAAGGCATGCTGAGCACAGCATGAGTGAAGAGAGACCCATAAAATAACTTGGAGTGTGTTTCTTTGAACATGTGTACTTACATATTTGGGATCTCAGACTTTCTCTCACTTTCACCACAAAGTAAAAAAAGAAGATAACCAACATGATAAGAAAACCCTGTCAGGTGGCTGCCTTGGGTTTGGCTTGCCCCCTCAGTATGCAAAGGAGTCTTCTGCAACAAGCAAAGTGCAGTCATGCTAATGAGTCACATTTAAGTAATACCTGTGTTCAAAATTACTGTTTGGAATAAATAGCACCTAGTATTTGTAAAGAACTTGTCAGAGCTGCAAAGCATTTTGTATGCATTATACTTGTAATCCTTAAAACAGTCCAGTAAGGTGGGCTTATAAATCATTTAGAGATTTTATTACAATCAAGCAGTATATAATTTTTGTTAAACAAATAAAATTATTTCCCTTGTGCTTTCAAGGAGCATAGTTCATGCAATAAAAGCTAATCTGTCATACGTATTTGAGATTCTCGAGGGCATTGAACTACAGTGGTGCCCCGTAAGACGAATGCCTCGCAAGACGGAAAACCCGCTAGACGAAAGGGTTTTCCATTTTTGAGTTGCTTCACAAGACGATTTTCCCTATGGGCTTGCTTCGCAAGACGAAACGTCTTGCTAGTCTTGCAATTTTTTTCTCGCTCCCCCCCCTTTTTCTAAGCCGCTAAGCTGCTAATAGCCTTTTAGCAGCTAAGCCGCTAAGCCTTTAATAGCCGCTAAGACGCTAAACCGCTAATAGCGCTAATCCGCTAAGACGCTAATAGGGTTGCTTCGCAAGACAAAAAAACCGCTAGACGAAGAGAATCATGGAACGGATTCTTTTCGTCTTGCGAGGCACCACTGTATTTTTAAATAGCCATATAATTCCTTTTTATGTATATTAGGGATGGGCCAGTTTATGGTCAAACTACGAAACTTTCTTCCCCAGGAGGCTGTGATGGTCACTAAGTTGGTTGGCTTTAAAAGGGGATTAGACAGATTCATTGGGGGAGGCCTAGCCATTATGACTATTGCTCTCCCTCCACTCTAGGAGGCAGCATTTCTTCCAAATACTGGAAACCACAGGAGGGGGGTGCTTGAAGCAGCTAGGAAGCCTGCTCCCCATCACGTGCAGTTTCAAAATGTCCTTGGGAGTGCAGGGATGGGGTGTGCCAATGTGCCATGCAGCCCAGAGGCATTGCATTGGCAAAAAATGGCCGCCTTCGTTTTAAAAGACAGCCTGTGGACCACCCAATAACCCTGTTTGGAATTATTTGTCTATCGGAGCAGCGATTGGTTGATTTTAGCATTAATCTTTTCAGGTGAAATACGGTTGCTCCAGCAAATTCCAGAAGCTTCTGTACAGCTTCTGAAGGAAGTGACAGAACCATCACTATATGGAGATTTCAAAGCCATTCTGGATTGATAGATGCGGTCCTATTATAGGTAAACCAATTTATTTTTCCTTTAAAAAAGAAAAAGGAATAAATAGCTAAGTCAACCTCCTGTATCCCAAAGCAGGGAAAATGTAGTAATTTGGTGCCTGAAAGTACACTTAGTGTCATGAATACATGAGCTCAAAGTGACTTTTTCAAAGTATTTTATCAGCAAAGTAAGTAATGGGATATGCTCCATTTTTAGTTCTATTTTTTACCGTGTAAAAAATTCACCTAACCTGGAACTGTCAGGGGGAAATATATTTTTCTGTAATCCAACAATGGTGAGATGCTTATTCTGGTATCTTACCTATAAAGTGATCTATGGCTACAAGTTTCTGTGTTCCGTTCACTAAGCCTTGTAAATTGCTTTTAAAAATGTGACTTCTGTTTTAAAAACTCGGTAGCACATTATTTTGTAATTGTGGCTGCCAGAACCATGAGGTTTTCCTTAAACCTTGCTGAGTAATCAAGACTATTATTGTACTGCACATGGCCTTTCAGCAACAATAGTTGTTGTATCTTTCTTGGTAATAGCCCATTTACTTGGTAAGACTCAGATCTCCAATTTAGAAAATACAACTTGTGACTTAATGGATTGTGTCTTCTAAATTCCAGTTATTATTTATATATCTCAATCAGTCATAAGGGTAGTGCCTGAAAAGATCCTTACTGTGGAATTACCATGTTCTGTCCACTTATGTTTTGGAGGGTGTCCACTTATAATGTCATCATTTTGTAATCAGCCCCTAGCAGTTTTCCCTTTTCTAAATCTCATGTACCGAATGGCCTTAGGCAAAGCACTTTCTTTCAGATTCAGCCCCCACACCTGCAATATAGGGATAAGAATGTGGACCTGCCTTATATGGTTGGCGTAGTAAGACTTACTAGATAATTTATGTGTTATGCATTATGAACATTCCTAAGTGTTATATATAAAGATGCATTTATTTAGAAAATGGTTTTACGTAGAAATCCCTACATTCTTACTGATTGAATACCTTGAATTTGAGGATACATGTGTGGGTTTTTTATTGGTCAGGATAGGATGGGGAAAACAAGGGTGACCAGATCGCTGAAACAAAAGTTAAGATCAGGTGCTACCAGTGCTGGTGTCTGGATGTATTATTTGTAACAGTTTCTTTTTCAACACAATTTTCCAAAGTTGATAAATGGCTCCGAAAGGGATCATCAAACATGGTACAGTTTCAAGCATCTCAGAGATGATGACAGCCCAGGGAGGATACTTTTTTGACTCTTTTGCAGGAAAATGTACCTTTGGGAGAAACAAATGTATTGCATTAAAGCCACACTGAACAGCATAATCTTCTATGTGTTTACAGAGAAGTAAATCCCATCAGGTTAAATGGGGATTGCTCCCAGGTAAGTGAGGACAGAAATTACAGCTTGTTAATACTTCAAAGAGGGAGCTAAGCAAAGGTTGGCAATATTCCAAAAGGGAAAGGGAAGACTCCTGAGTTGCATGCAGTGTAGGGCTAAGACTATGGCTTCATCAGCACAAGGATGTCTCCTCACATGATGGGATGTACTCCTCCTCCTCTCCACTGGTGCACCCCCTAAATACCTTCTAGGGATTTTCCAAACCCTCTGGAGCAGGCATCTCCAAACTCAGCCCTCCAGATGTTTTGGGACTACAACTCCCATTATTCCGAGCTAACAGGACCAGTGGTCAGGGATGATGGGAATTGTGGTCCCAAAACATCTGGAGGGCCGAGTTTGGTTGTGCCTGCTCTGGAGCAAATTTTGGGATGCCATGGGAGGAGGAGAGGGGAAGAAAGTCCCAGTGTGCTAGTGGTGTGTTGTATCTAACAAAAAGCAATTTTTTTAAGAATGCTCACTCCTGTCACACGAAATGGTAAAATCTCTCTGTTTTTAGGTAGGCTGGGACTTGATAGCAAACAGTTACCATCAAGGCTGATCATCTGAAAACTCATGAAGCTGAACAGATCTGGGACTGGTCAGTGTCTGTATGGTTGACTAGCTAGGAACCACATGGCATCCATCTGTCTTGGGAGAAAGTGGAAGAGTGTGCCTTTGTGGGTAAAGTCAAACCATTAGAGAGTTACAGCACCTACTGTGGCTGTACAGAAAAAGCATGTTTGCTGCTACAGGTGCGCTATGGCACTCCTTTCTGCGTCCCACCCCCAGTGGTCATTCCTCCTCTGTCCACTACTGTGGATACACACCCTGACTGTCTTTCTCCAGGCAATACCATCTTGTAATAGGTTCATACGCAAGTTTGCTGGCTCACTACACGTACAGCAGACACACACCTCCTGTGCCCCACAAAGAAGAAAACAGCCCAGCAGGCATGTAGGGTTCTGTAAAGCCTGTTTTAGCTTGGTGTCCTAGATGGCAAGATCCAGGATCACTGTCAAGCCCTTGGTGGGCTGTAGTATATGACTGATGACATCTTTGGGCTTGATGTGAAAAGGATGTCTGTTTATTCAACCTGCTTTTAAGTTGCTCCTCAGGAATGCTCTTAGAGCAGCTTACAGCAGAGTAATAAAATCAAAATGTAAAACCATTTATTAAATGTGCGGCTGAAACGAAAGAGGCAGGACATTAAATAAAAAGGCCAACATAAAGCATCCTCAGTTGATTATAAAGGTAAGGTAAAGGTACCCCTGCCCGTACGGGCCAGTCTTGACAGACTCTAGGGTTGTGTGCCCATCTCACTCAAGAGGCCGGGGGCCAGCGCTGTCCGCAGACACTTCCGGGTCACGTGGCCAGCGTGACAAGCTGCATCTGGCGAGCCAGCGCAGCACACGGAACGCCGTTTACCTTCCCGCTAGTAAGCGGTCCCTATTTATCTACTTGCACCCGGGGATGCTTTCGAACTGCTAGGTTGGCAGGCGCTGGGACCGAGCAACGGGAGCGCACACCACCGTGGGGATTCGAACCTTTCGATCGGCAAGTCCTAGGCACTGAGGCTTTAACCCACAGCGCCACCCGCGTCCTCAGTTGATTATACTTAATTTATAATTCTATTATTTATACCCCACCCATCTTACTGGGTTTCCCCGGCCACTCTGGGTGGCTTACAGCATCTCTAAAAAAATCCAGCATTAAAAATCTGGTGAGGTTAATTAGCTGCAGGACCCCCTGTAAGCCCTAGTGAACCATCAGTGATAGCAACTTCAGTGCTTAAGCAGAGCATCTTTATCAATTCAGGAGTTGAATTGAGATTCAGGAGTAGCAGCAAGATTGGAGTGAGAGCTCAACTCCCCCCCCCCCATGAATGCAAATTAGGGAAAGACTAGTAATGACTTGTATAAAGGTAACTTACATAATTTGGGTTCCAAGTATTGTAGCTTGATGGTGGCTCAACAAGTACATAGAATAAAAAAATTAGGAGCATTGTCCCTGGCGAGAAAAATAGCCACATTGCCTTCCAATAGCCTTTTAGTGGTCTTTCTATCATCTTTTCCACATCTGCACTGAATCTGTTAATGAAATGGATATATTTAGTGAGGGATCTGTGGACAATTCACTTGCATGTAACCTTATTAAAAATGAAGCCAGCTAAACTTCTGTTTCTCCTCTGACCGCATGCCTGCTCATCACTTGAACAAGTAGAGCAGCTACGTAAGCATCACTCAAAAGAGGGAAATGCAAACAAAAGAGGATTCAGGCTTGCGTAAAACGTTCGCGTAAAACGTTTATGTGCTAATTTAGAAATGATTTTTGTGACTGAAATAGAAATGAATTAAATGTCTCCATAGTGGGGAAGACTGATCAGCTAGCCTGTCCCATCTCCTTTCCAGGTGTTAACTTTGAAGCCTCTGCTCTCCCTGCCTAGAGTTCTTAATCTTTTAAACCACAGGGATTTTCAAATCAAGGACTCCCTCAAATAGAGATCTATCCTCTCTGACAGCTGCTTGGGCTGTTAAGAAGGCCATATGCACACAATCCCCCCCCCAAAAAAAATCAAATGATCGTTTGCACAAATAAATTAAACACAACAGATAGGAAACCTTTATCCTATTGCAACTTCTGGGGTGTATATCGCCAAATTATGCATAAGGCTGCAAACCTTAGCTGGGATCTTATTCCCACTGTATGCAATGGAATTTATTTCTGAGCAGGGAGACATGTGATTATACTTCAAATACAATAAAAAGGTATCACTTGCTGCACCTAGGCCAGGAACAGATCTGGCAGACACCCTCACTTTTGACTTTCCTGCTTTGCTTAAAAATCAGATCTTCATTGCTCTTTAATGTTTTGTTTAGCCAGCCACTTCCACAATTATTTGTACTGTTTGCAATTGTATTTTATGTTAATGTTGCGCATCACCCCAGTGTTTTGTTTTTTTGGCGGTACAGAAATGCTTTTCTAAATAAATAGACTAAATAAAGGTTTCTTGCTTAGAGTGTTGTTTTCACAGGATAAAGGAGGGAAATGGAAGTGCACACCTCACCAGCTTATCAATGGGCTTGGTTCTCATGATCCCTCTGATGAGGGGTGCTGGTAAATCTGGGTCCTGGGCCATACCACTTCAAACAGCAATGGCTGTTGGCGACGGTACCTCTTCAGACCGAATGCCCCTCATATTAAACATAACGGCTCCCCTCATGGATAAGTACTCAGTTTTGAAACACAACTCACTAAAGCAGTCTGAAGCAGTCCAGATTAGACACCAGTTTACCTTGTAAACCCTCTTCAAGCATTAGAGTTAGTTTCCATTTAAGTGGGGGAGCAGGCCGGGGGGGGGGGACACTCCATCACTAAAAAATCCTGATTTGCATCACAAGATGTAGGTGGGTTGCCTAGCTTCTCCATAGTGTGTTCATTTCTCAATAGAAATGCTTAGTGATGAATACAGCCTCACGTGTTCATCTGCCTTGAGTTGCTTATGCACCTAAGGGCTTATCCAGATACATAATATAAAGAAACATAGCCATACCTTTTCATTCCATAAACAAATGCAACAGCCATCACTTCAAAGAAAGCAATGACTAGCAAAGGCATGGTTCCCCCAAAGGCATCAAACATCTCAAGCCAGTAGTTTCCTGATCTCAGAGCAAAAAGCAGGCCCAGCAGAAAAGCAGAAAGGCATATTAAACCTACAGACAACAACATTCATTAGTCAATTAACACAAATGAAATAAAAGAAAACCTAACCATTGGTGTTTACATGTGCGTTTATAATCAATCCCAACATGTCTGTTCCGTTCTTGCCAAACACCCAAGTTTTGCCACTCACCTATCCTTAATGGTCAATGAGTGCAATGTGGCATCATTACGACTGTACAGTTTCTGCTCACCAGATTATTGTTATTGTTGTTATTACTGTTTATTAATTTATATAGTGCCCTTCGGAGCTATCAGGGCAGTTCACAAGATAAAAATACAGGATAAAAGCACAAAATAGAACAAAAACAAAACAATCACCCCCGCTCACACAAACACATTTAAAAGGCCATAGAAGAAGAAGAAGAAGAAGAAGAAGAAGAAGAGGAGGAGTTTGGATTTGATATCCCGCCTTTCACTCCCTTTTAAGGAGTCTCAAAGCGGCTAACATTCTCCTTTCCCTTCCTCCCCAACAACAAACACTCTGTGAGGTGAGTGGGGCTGAGAGACTTCAAAGAAGTGTGACTGGCCCAAGGTCACCCAGCAGCTGCATGTGGAGGAGCGGAGATGCGAACCCGGTTCCCCAGATTACGAGACTACCGCTCTTAACCACACCACCACACTGGCTCTCTCTCTCCCAAGGCCTGGTTGAAGAGGCCTGACACTTAAAGATGTATAATGAAGGTGCCAGCCAAACCTCCCTGGGGAGGTTAATGAATCTGGAAAGAACGTATCTTGAAACAACAGTAGCAGCTAAGAGAATGAGCAATGAGCCAGGATATTCCATCGAAATACTGTCATGCCCACGAACCCTATCTCAGCCCCCATCTGCAATACAGAGATAGTATTAAGCTACTGTTATTTACAATAGCTGAAATAATGTACAAGAAGCACTTTGAACCATATTAATCTTGAGCATGGTTAACAGCAAAGAAAAGGATTTGAGGAAGATGCCTTACCACATACAGCCTCCTTGCATATGTATCTAGACACAATGGGAGATTCCGTGACAGGCGTCAAGATACTTTGAATGAGTCCAAAAATGGAAGATACACCAAGACTGAACAGCATGAGAAAAAACAGAATCGCCCAAGTGTTCGATCCAGGCATCTTAATGACGATTTCAGTGAACACAATAAAGGACAAGCCGGTTCCAGAAACACTCTGCAAAATTCACAAATAATGGTAAAAACTGTCAGATTGATTTCTAAATGTCATTTATTCTAATGCAGAGGCAAAATGTTGTATTACTCAACATTTAGCCATCATCTGGAATAAGATACAGTCATTACCGATGACAAGTTCTTATCTTGACCTGGACCCTTGAAACCTGAGATGTGAATTTTTGGGACTCACCATGTTTTAGTGGTATTAAGTTGCTGTAATCTGTTTTTAGTGTTGCATTTTAAATTGTTGTCACTTGCCCTGGGAGCTAAGGGTGAAGGAAAGGTAATAACATAATAATAAAAGCAGCCACCTAAGCTCACAGGTTGCTTGCTGTAGTTCTTTTCATGCTCATACGTGCAGACACAGGTGTGGTTTCTGTCTGTCTCTGCAGAACTATAAGGGAAACTTCTCAAGCTGGACTAGAGTTCTGGTGGGTACCCTGAGCCCCATCTTCTGTGTGCAAGTATTTGTGGCTAAATAAAGTGGCCATAGAACACCTCAGTAACAGTAGTTGTAGGGGGGAAGGTAGATTGTGTTTCTTCGGAGAAAACCAGGCAAACAACTTGTGGTCTCTGTGCACTCATACATATGGGTAGAGTAACAAGCTAGTTTACCAGAGACACAGCAGCTTGTATGAAGCCAAAGAGCTAAACACAGCTCTTCTGAAAGAATTTCCTGCCTGGGCCATCACATCAACGGTAGCTGAAGACCGAGGGCTGTGACCCCCTTGCAGCATGGCAGAGGTCCAGCAGAGAAACTACAGAAAAATGCAGTGGAAGCTGCAGAAGCCTTCATGGAATGTGACCAGAGAAGGAAGCCCCATTCATTCATGCAATGCAAGTACAATACCTTATCAAGGAAATACTGGAGATCACAATTTGCCAGTTTGAGAGATGCCAGTTTATTGATATCTGTTCCATTCAAATAACTGAGCCAAAATGCGCTGCTGTCTACAGTGATGTTGTCTTTCCTGAATGCCTTGGTGATGCTTTTAACATTTCTGTCAGTAAAGTCAGAAATGATACGAATTATTTGCATTGCCATAGTCCCTAAGAAAAACAACAGCAATTTGCTTCAAATAGGGGCAGGCCAGGGGCCAAACGGGTTTATGCACAACCACTGACGTGCTCTGGGACCAGGAACGCAACCCCCATACAAACAGGAAGTTGCCTGTATACCTGAATTAATGATTATGCACATGGAACATGCAGGATTGTATACTTTGTGTTCTATGCTACAATCTTATTTTAATTCTGCCCTCTGGGGTCCCCTAAACTGGTTTAAAGGGGGGGGGGAGAAATGACACTAAATTTTAGACAATGAAAAACAAAACAAATTGTGAACAGAGGGCTTGGACCAACACCTTAAATTGGTTCCTAACTGTGAAACTTGAATGGCTCACCTTTCCAAGCATTCTTCATAGGCCACTGTTGCTTTGAACCCCAGAATTGAGAAAATTGGGATTGATGCAAACAAAGAAGTCAAAGAATTTATTGCTGCTATCATGACAGCATCCAGTTCACAGTCATTACTAGGAAAAACAAGTACATAACAACCCGATTAAACGTTACAAAGGACAGCACCAAGTCTGTAACTTCTAATGTTATACATTTATTATTTTATTTGAAGTACTTGTACTCTATTCTTCACTGAATATTTTCAATCCCAGAACAGTAAAACAAAGCAATTGACAGATGGCATGTTGTCGCAGAAACTAAATAGCTGAAGGCACTACTGAAATATGTTGGTTTTGTCATTGTTATTATTATTAATTTCTTTATTCGCTGACAGGACTCAAAGCAGCTTACAGTTTAAAAACATGAACCACTAGAGAGAGAAAATTCATTGAAATACAATTAAACATGGATAGAATGAAAACTATAAACATGTAAAAATAATATGTTTAAAACCTACCAATAATTACAATAAAAATTGTCCTCAATTTTTGTGTGTGGGAAAGAGAAAATAAGCAGGCAGCCCTAGAACAGAGTCTGAAAATGACAAGGCCTGACTTGGTGCTGACCTTTAAAGCCCTAAACGGCCTTGGTCCAGTATATCTGAAGGAGCGTCTCCACCCCCATCATTATACCTGGACACTGAGGTCCAACACCGAGGGCCTTCTGGCGGTTCCCTCACTGTGAGTAGCCAAGTTACAGGGAACCAGGTAGAGGGCCTTCTCGGTAGTGGCGCCTTCCCTGTGGAACACCCTCCCACCAGATGTCAAAGAGAACAACAACTACCAGGCTTTTAGAAGACATCTGAAGGCAGCCCTGTTTCGGGAAGCTTTTAATGTTTGATGTATTATAGTATTTTAATATTCTTTTGGAAGCCGTCCAGAGTGTCTGGGGAAGCCCAGCCAGATGGGCGGGGTATAAATAATAAATTATTATTATTATTATTATTATTATTATTATTATTATTATTATGACTAACCCTCTGTGAAAATCCAATGAAATGGCACTGGGGGTTCTAGAAATCTACTGGGGGAGGAGGATCCATCTGAGTGTTGATGCTGTATATTTGGATAACTAAAGCCTTTTGATACAGAAATGTCAGTAAGACTCTTCAGATCTCATTCAACAGAAACCAGCCCTGGTGCATGCACTGGAATCCCTGAAATCTCTCATCATTCTGGGACTGGAGAGGGCCCAGATATTATACATTTATCACATTTAGAGCTCACTTTTCTCCAAAGGATTCCAAGGTAGCATACAAGCAAGTTATGCTGTTTTATTCTCACAGGAACCTTAAGACATAAGTTATACTGAGAGCATGCAGCCGCCTCAGTCACTCGCCTTCTCATTATTGCATCTCAAACGTAGCTGAACTTTGCCCAGCACTGGCATTGCAGAAAGAATAATAGAGAGCATCTTTGGGTTGCTCACACAGGAAAACATCAAGAGAACAGAGCCAACCGCTTTTCCTGGGCTCCAGTGTGGGCTGAATGAGAATTGAGTCTTGTCTCCAGAGATCACTGAGGCGCTATCTCATAGAAGTTTATTTGACTGCGTCAAACAGTTCCTCTCCACATTGTGAGTGAAAGCTAACAAAACTGCAAGATTATACCTACATTGACGGGTTGTAGCTTGAATATGCTATGAGTCCCCCAAATCCTAAAGAAAGAGAGGAAAATATCTGGGTGGCTGCATCAAGCCAGGCACGTGGATTGTTGATCTTCTTGAGCTGTGAGAGAGACAGAGAGAGTTCAGGGCTAAACACATTATTAGTCTCATAATTCCTGTGCATATTTCACTGATACAGGCCTTCCTGGCAAGCAGTGGAAAATTAGTGTGTTTTCTGAATTCAACAAATTCAGAACAGAACAATGCATTATACTGGCAAACAAGTGTTTCACAAACTGCCTGCTGGGGGCTTGTTGGAGGGGGAGAATCAGTGTGTAGGAGAGAGCGCTTAACTCTTTCCATGCTTGGCTATAGTCCCTTACAAATGCTCACTAGAGTGCTTTTACCTTCACTTGCGCATCTTCCAGTCTTGGACCCTGCCAGACGGAGAAACAAAAAGCAGCCCAGGGGAGCATTTGTAGGGAAGAATTGGTGGGCATAGGGAGGATTAAGTTGCTGCCCACTGGCTTCCTCTGCAAATGCATCTCTCCATCTCTGCATTCGCCCCAGCATAACAAGTCAAATACAGAACTGGGACACCCCATGCTGGCACAATGAAGTGTAGTTCTGCCCTGTCTGCCAAAAAATAAGATTTGACCCAGGGTTGCCTATATTCGTGAATTTTAGAAAAGGGCACTTTTTACACAAGTTTCTGTTCTTCATAGATTCCAGAGTAAGTTCTAGAAAAGGGCATTTTTACACAAGTTTCTGTTCTTTGTGGATTCCAGAGGGAGTTAACAAAGTACAATTGCCAGAATATGTGTGGATCCCAACTAGTATTAAGTGGTAAACAAAGAAGAAGCATGGAGGAAAGTTCAAAGTTCAAAGCCACCTCTAAAAGACCAAGTCAGACTTTCCGTACATCATCTGGAACACCAAGGATCAATTGAATAAATACTTGCATTAGGAGTCATGAAGTAGAGTAATCCGTGAACGGCTCCTGGGAGAGTCAGTCCATAAATTAGGAATAATGTTAGAATTAGGTAAGAACATGGGGCTGTAAAATACATTGCCTAAGAGGAAGAGCAAAACAGAGAAGAAAAAAGTGAGTGTCAGGAAGAGGTTAAGGCAATACCATGAAACAGATACTGTGCACACAAAATTACTGAACAGTTGCAGCTGAATCCAACTCAGTGATAAACTGTTGTTGTGTAGGGTGGTTTGAGGAAATGTAGAAGCTCATGCATGTGTGTAAATCACCACATAATGGTGCCATCCAGTGTGGTGCAGCAGTGGTTAACATGGCAGACTTGAATTGAGGAAACCTGTGGAGGTGTGCTCCACAGAAGTGCAGGGAGGTGGGGGAAGTGCAGGCAGTGGGGGCCCCCTCCCAACATTTTGTCTAAGGTGGTGCCTATGGCCATGAAGCTCACTGGTGACCTTGAGACAATTCTCCAGTCCAACCGAATGAAAGATTGTGAGCAGATTGTGTGCAAGAGGAAAGAGAGAGTAGCTTGAACTCTTTGGATGAGAAGTAGGATACTAATTAAAAAGGCAAGCATACTTTTTTTCTATGTTGCAGAGAAAAAAGGTAGAAAACACTTTGTGACACCTTAAAGACCAACACTGTAGGCTACCGTTTGTTTTATTAGGTGCATAAAGTCACCAGAGAATGCTGGATTTATCCATACATCCAGATTTTCCTGGACATAACTGGGATTCGTTCTCCGAAAATAATGTCTAAATCAGTTAAAATGTAAGGGCGTATGGTAGCCAAAAAGCTCAACATATTTGCCCAAAAAAGCAATATATTATTCAACTGACTATTCATTATGACGTTTTATGACACAGTCCGAGTCAGGCCATCTAAACTGCTGTTCCATCCCAAGGTGCTTTAGCCCTGCAGTCTAATGGGAACACTTGTGTTCCTCATAGTTGCACTTTATAGCTAATTAATCCATAATTTTGCTTCTCATTTGCTTTACGTATTGCTGATCAAACACATAAAAAAATACCTCCTGCATATGGATTATAACCTAGCCTCCTTGCAGACGTATTAGTTTTCAATGGGCAGGTGCCTTTTAAAAAATATGATAGAACATTCGTTCATGTGAGCTGCTTTCTGTCTCATGTGGTGCAGTCCAAAGATGGCTTTACCACCTCAATGAGGACCAGGTCAGTGAAATACAGGTGTCTGGTAATAATCCCTGCTCACCTTTCCAGTCGATTCAATTCCTCGTACTGTACAAATGAACACAATTAACCAGCAGGCTGCCAAACATAAAACCAGCCACCACTGAAGTGGGCCACTGTTTCCAATATCCGTGCTTATGTTTAAAGTGTACCTATACCAGAAATAATTGGTAGGTGTGCTTTTGTGACATTCTTCAATAAGTTCTGAAATAACAAGCACAGAAGGCATTATCAAAACAGATGGAATCATAGAAGAGTTGGAAAGGATCCTGACGATCAGGAATATGCAGTTGTCCCATACGGAGATCGAACCTGCAATCTTGGTGTTATCCGCACCATGCTCTAACAGACTTTCCTAATATGGTGCCATCCAGATGTTTTGGACTAGAACGTCCATCAGCCCCAGCCAGCACAGCCAATGGCCAGGAATTCTGAGAGCCATAACCCAAAACATCTGTGGGTCAACAGGTTGGGGAAGACTATTGTAGATTCATTAAGTTCCACACACCACTGGAATAATATTGAGTAACCTGTATGTCATGTTATTTATTTGATTGCAAAGAGAAGTTCCTTCTGTTGTAGAGGGCGTCTTTCCCATTCTGCACCAATAGAGCGTGCAGATGGTATACTGCATTTAAAAAAAAACCTCCATTCCATGTTTTGTTTTGTTTTGTTTTGTTTTGTTGTTTTGCTTTGTTGGAAAATGTGAACCTACCATAAACCCCTCTCCTCTGGAGTTCTAGAATGAGGTATTGTTTAGTTTGGGGAATAGCCTCCTCTTGATTGACAAACAGGGTTTCCCGAAAGAATGACATCAAGAGGAGATGCTTCACCTCAGCTCTTCCAGACCAAGCCTGGAACAAAACTCTCTAGCCCTACATATATTTGGGTTAGGGATGCAACCAGGCACACCCCAGGTGAATAGATATGTGCCTCATCCTCTTGAAGCTATTCCATGAAAGGGAAGGGAAGGGGGCCTTTCTTCAGGCATCAGTTCTCTCTGCACAGGAAGCTCTTGCTTTGGCATAACTAGTAAACTTTAAGCCAGGAGTGGGGAACCTTTGGACCTCCAGCTGTCATTGAACCACAACTCCCATCAGCCCCAGCAAGCATGGCCTAGGGCCAGGGATCGTGGGAGTCGTAGTGCAGTAAGAGCTGGAGGGCGTGAAGATCCACCACACCTGCTTTAAGCTATTGGCCCCATCTACACAGCACTTTAAACCATTATTAAACTAAGCTGTGCCTTAAACGTGAACTCGCTGCTGCTTCATTCAGATGGGCAGGGTATAAATAAAAATATTCTACCTCTGCTGCATTACTTTGCCGAGTGTTTAGTTCAGTTCATATCCTATTCCCTTTTTGTACAACTTTACAGATGCTGCTTTCTCTGTCGTTTTGTCCTTTTGGAAGCTGCAAGATTTGGGGTGCAACTGCAGACACATGTTCATGAGGGCACAGCCTAACTAGGCTGAGTCTTGCCCTGAAGAGCAGGCCTGAGGATGGGAAGATGTCAATTTAAAGTGCAGTGCATCTGGGTAGGTGGTGGGGGGTGAACCCTCCCCCCAACCTCAACTGTGCTTTTTGTATGCAAGAACAGAAGGGATGAATTGCATCCAAGGTTGTGTTCTGGCTCTAGTGTGCTCCCACTGTTGGTTTTTGAATCCATAGACATAAGACGTTACCAATGATGTAGAGCTAGCATAGAAATTCTTGATAAATGTTGCTATTTTGTGTGTTTTCCATAAAATCAGCTTCAACCCACAAAGAATACTTAAGCCACATTTGACGTGCAGTTCATCCCCATTCCGTCTCTGGTGTGCATAAATGCAACCTGACACACAGACACAGCTGATAATGTGCACATAGCCTACACAGAAAAATGGGCACCTGTAGGGCTTTTGCTTATCCCAATCTGTAGCTAGGGCCAAAGGAGGCATGGCAGGAACACACCTGGGTCTAATAGTTGCTGACTGTGGCAGAGTTGGACAAACAATTTAATGCAGTGGTTGAAGGATACATAGAAAAGCAGATACTAATAACAGAAAGCAGCAAGAGACTTGGGAACTCACCTGGTTTGCTGGTATCTGTTGGGCAGGAACTCCAAGGTAATGGGTTTCGGAAAGAGTTTATAAAATACCACAAAATCCAGGCCAAAAGCATATTATAATACACACTCACTAGGAAGGACACTATCAGTGAACTGTAACCTGTGGAATATACAAGCACATGCAGAACTGGCATGAACAAAGACAATTGCTGTTTAACATAAATATTGCAAGAGCCTGATTCACACTATGGAAAGATCAAATCCAATTACTACCTGAACTCTGGCAGTCTGGAAAACAATATTGCTCTGTGAATTAAATGTTGGTGCTAACAAACTGGGGTGGGGTGGGGGGTGGCAATACCCATTTTGCCTCAGGTGGTGAAATCACACAGGTTGCCCCTGAGTGGCTCTGTTCATCTTCCATAGGCATGCAACTGCCTGAGTTTACCACTACTGGGATGTGGGTAGCGCTGTGGTCTAAACCACTGAGCCTCTTGGGCTTGCAGTTCAGAAGGTCAGCAGTTCAAATCCCTAAGACGGGGTGAGCTCCCGTTGCTAGGTCCCTGCTCCTGCCAACGTAGCAGTTCAAAAGCATGCCAGTGCAAGTAGATAAATAGTTATCGCTGTGGTGGGAAGGTAACCACAAACTGGGGGGGGGGGCAATTCCTATTTTGCCGCAGGTGATGAAATCGGAGAGGCTGACCCAGTGGCTCTGTTTATCTTCTAGACCAGGGGTCAGCAAACTAAGGCCCATGGGCACGATCAGGCCCGATTGCCCTCTGGATCCGGCCCACAGACAGTCCTGGAATCGCCGCTTGGATCGGCTTCATTGTTCGGGCAGTGCCAATTTTTTTGCATTTTTTTCTGGGTGCCTTTCCCCCTCCCTTCCCCTCCCTTCCCTCACACACACCATGGCGGCGGCGCCTCCCTCCTCTTGGCTTCTCCATGCCCTGTGGAGGAAGGGAGCTGAGCTTTGATTGGTGCCAACAGCCAGCCAATCCGAAGCCTTGACACCCACCCGCTGGCCTCTCCATCCATGGCTGCACTGTGGGCAATGTGACAGGCACGGGGCTTTGTCTGGAGCTTGGTGCGCCTGCTGGCCCTGCACCTGGTGCCTGAGAAAGCTGGCCCAGAAAGGAGAAGCACCACCACAGCCACTGGCTCCCAACCGCAGGGAGAGCGGCAGAGGAGGTAGGAAAGCAGGGGAGGGGCTGGGGGAGAGAGGGGGGGGAGAGAGAAGCCCCCCTCCGCCGCATGCATGCACACACACACACAGTTCGGCCTGCCACAAGGTCTGAGGGGCGTTGAACCAGCCACCTCCTAAAAAAGTTTGCTGACCCCTGTTCCAGACAGATAAGCACGAAACTGCCTGAGTTTACTACTACTGGTAAGCGGGTGGCACTGTGGTCTAAACCACTGTGCCTCTTGGAATTGCCAATAAGAAGGTCAGCGGTTCAAATCCATGTGACGTGGTGAGCTCCCGTTGCTCTGTCCCAACTCCTGCCACCCTAGCAGTTCAAAAGCACGCCAGTGCAAGTAGATAAATAGGTATCGCTGTGGTGGGAAGGTAAGCAGCGTTTCTGTGCGCTCTGGTTTCCTTCACGGTGTTCCGTTGTACCAGAAGCGGTTTAGTCATGCTGGCCACATGACCCAGAAAGTTGTTTGAGGACAAACACTGGCTCCCTCAGCCTGAAAGCGAGATGAGCACTGCAACCCCGTAGTCGCCTTTGACTGGTCCTTTACCTTTTACCCTACCACTACTGGGTTTGCTATTGCAGCCTCATGTAACCCATGTGTTTTCCAGGAAGGAGCAATGATTAGAAGATTGTATAGTCACAAGTAAAGGCAATTGCAGAAACCTACCTAGTCCTCCCAGGTAAGGTGAGATGTGCCACCAGAGTCGAATGGTGCCTTTTTTCAAACGTTGCCCTACAGCTAATTCAAGAAAAAATACAGGGATGCCTCCCAACACAAGCGTGGTGATGTATGGAATCAGGAATGCTCCTAGAAACACAATTTCCAAGCAGTTAGCTCATAACAGTGTTAGCGGGTTGTTGTTTTTTTACTGTGTCATGCACTGAAAGCATATCTGATTGGTGGGGATTAAACTGTACAAATTAGTCCTGCTGTAGAAGATCTAGAAGGTGAAAGTCATGAAAAAATGGCTATTTTTGCAGTTACATTTCAGCTTGTTTTTATTTATTTTTTTAAATTCTGGAATGGGGGGGAGCTCTCTGAAAACAATCCACTCTGGACAATGCTTTTATGATTCTGTCATATGATACTTCAAAAACTCAGAAAGTATAAAGTATTTATGCCTCCCCTACCAATCATTTAGGGGACGCGGGTGGCGCTGTGGGTAAAAGCCTCAGCGCCTAGGGCTTGCCGATCGAAAGGTTGGCGGTTCGAATCCCCGCGGCGGGGTGCGCTCCCGTTGCTCGGTCCCAGCGCCTGCCAACCTAGCAGTTCGAAAGCACCCCCGAGTGCAAGTAGATAAATAGGGACCACTTTCTAGCGGGAAGGTAAACGGCGTTTCCGTGTGCGGCTCTGGCTCGCCAGAGCAGCGATGTCACGCTGGCCACGTGACCCGGAAGTGTCTCCGGACAGCGCTGGCCCCCGGCCTCTTGAGCGAGATGGGCGCACAACCCCAGAGTCTGGCAAGACTGGCCCGCATGGGCAGGGGTACCTTTACCTTTACCTTACCAATCATTTACCCTGTCCCACGTTAGCATTCCTAAAGGTCATATAGTGGTAGAACAAAATGGCCTTGTCTCTTTTGATTTGGTAGTGTTGTTTTCTAAAACCAAAGTTAAATCAACTTTGAGGGGAATCAGCTAGAGTCAGCTCAGGTGTTCATAGCTCCCTTGGTCTATGTCTAAATTATCTGCCTTCCTTGAGAAGCAGAAGAGATTGGCAAAAAGTTACAACGAGGAATGCTGCTGCAAAAGAAGTTGCTCTTGGACAAAGTAGCTTGTTTCTAACTTCTTCATTTTTCAACAAGGAATAATATGTATCTTAAAATCATTTATCAGTGTTAAGAGTCAAAGTACAGAAACATCACTTTTAAAGAAGAGTTTGGATTTGATATCCGGCTTTATCACTACTCTAAGGAGTCTCAAAGTGGCTAACAATCTCCTTTTCCCTTCCTCCGCCACAACAGACACTCTGTGAGGTGAGTGAGGCTGAGAGATTTCAGAGAAGTGTGACTAGCCCAAGTTCACCCAGCAGCTGTATGTGGAGGAGCGGGGAATCAAACCTGGTTCACAATTTTACCACTGAAATGAAGAAGACTGAGACGGAAGATTACATCAAAGTACTACAGACATGGTATGTGGAATGGAACGCAACGGAACTGAAAGGGGGGGGCAACTTTTTTTTTTTACTCTATGTGATTAACTAATAACCCTCCCTCTTAGAAGATCCGTCACAGCAACTAATTGCAAATGGGACTAAAAATGAATTGTGTGGGAATAATATGAACTTAAAGGTTGTACTCTGTGAAGGATTTGGAAAGAAGAAGGGCTCTCTTTGTGACGCAGTTAGAATGGAGATGTGATACGAGACCTGTGTTGCAAGAGGTTTGGTCTTGGGGAGGGCGAGCCGAATATTTATTATTTTCGAGGAGGTTGCGATCTGGAAGGGGCAGCCCTCCTGGAAAAAGACTAATTTACGATGCAACAGGTCGGGAAAGTTAAAGAGCGAGCTTTTAGACTGCATTTCATCAGAACGACAAAATGGTGATTGCTTGCTCAAGCGGAAATGCCTGGACTATTGGATGAGAGTGATTTACGAGAGAGCAGCACAAAGCCCACACAGAAACACAAATAAGACTGGTTTTTTTCAACCCACTTGCGGAGCAACTCGGAGGTGAATGAAAAGGAAAATGAGTAACGACAAGGATTGAGAAGAGGGGACTGGAAATATCATTCTTAAAATGAAAGCAGCAAAAATATTCGAGGATTGGACTCCTGACGATCAAGAAGCATGGGTACCCCCCACAAAAATTTATAATTTGGAAAATAATTGGATTACATAATATGTATTGTTATAATTTGGATTAATTGGTTTGATGTGTTTAATTTGGTAATATGAAACTTAATAAAAAAAACCAAAATTAAAAACTTAATTAATTTTTTTAAATTAAAACTTAATTAAAAAACAAAAAAAACCTGGTTCACCAGATTATGAGTCCACCACTACACCGCCCTGGCTCTTATTGTCATGGTTGCCTGGAAGCAAGGCTATTTATTTTATCATGTTTCTTGCCAATAAAAACACCAAACACTTTAAAAAATCCATGTCCATTTAGTCAGAGAAAGTAAACAACTTGATTCACTCAGGCAGTAAATCCATGCAGTAAAACCAAATCAATCAGTAACAATGGATAACAATTGCAACAAGACTTAAAGCTTGGGTTGTAAGTCATTCAGTAATACTATTAAGCTCTGCATGCAAATCGTAAGAGTTGCAGTGAGGCATTGAAGTTAACAGAAAAATTTGTGACATATTGTCCCCAATGTCTCTGTGTTGTTTTGCTCTGTGCACTTAGCCATCTGTCATTCAGGAGGAAGAGCAGGATATAAATGGAATTATTATTTTTTCCAACCCACCAAAAAAAGTACTTACTCCACCCCCTTTTACAGCTCCTGTGACAGTCTCCTCCCTCTAGCTATCATCTGCCACAGCTGAGGCCATCAGGTGGAGCGTAGCAACATTTAAGTACATTTGCAGCTGCTTCTGCAGAACCATTTTAGGCCACCTCTGTTCCCACCTATGGCTTTTTTTACATCTCACATAGCGCTCCTTAATCTCCCTTAATGGCTCACCACCCAGGCTATCACCTCACTGGGAGGCTAGCCTGGCTATTCCAAGAATTAAAAGCACTGATTAAATTTTAACAATCTCTGGATCCAGAGATTAGAGGGGTGTAGCACACCCCAAACACATATTATTTTAGAACAAGAGGAGTGTGTCATAGTTTAGTCTGAACACAACTAATCAATTAAAAGGTGAATTTTCTCTTACCTCCTCCGTAGGTTTGGCACAAGTATGGAAAACGCCACACATTTCCAAGACCCACAACAAATCCAGAACAGCTTAAAAGGTACTGGAATTTACTATCCCACTTGGGCCTGTGTGAGTGTTTAGAGCTGCTTTCGGGTTGATCAGTTGCCATCTTTACAACCTCTTTTTTTCCTTTCACCACATATTTCTCCAATATTAGTAGCAGCCAGGCAACTGAACCTCCTCACTCACCATGTAAGCAGCAAGGGGGGGGGCAGAAGAGGAATTATGAACAATGGATGGAACTTCCATCTGCGACATCACACCAAAGAATCCAGATAAAACAACCTAGCAACCTACAGCCACACAAATTACAGAGTTGAGGCACTGAAGTTAACAGAAAAAGTCTTACCTCTTGGAAGCAGTAAAGATATAATTTAACCCTTTCAGTCCAAACTAAATTGTATTACTTTTCCCAAAGGTTCCCTCTTTCCCTAGCATAGGAAAAAGACCACACGTTTGGTAAGTTAAAAATGGTTTACTTACACACTCTTCAAAGGTCAGGTTCATGTGTTTCATAAAAGGTTGCACAGGCAGTAATATTCACCTTAGTTACAAAGCGGCAGAAGTTCCTAAATTATTGGTAGAGGAACTCAAGAATGGATGCTGAGAGCCATGCAGTTGAGCTGGAGCAACCAACTCAAACCTCTTCACATGCTGAGCTTCTCAAGTAAACTGGAGAACAAAGGCTTGATTACGTAGTTCCTTCCAAGTTGAGGGGAAGTAGATAGTGAAGCCTGACAGGACAGCATACTCTATGGTATTAACCCCTTCATGCATTAATTAGACTTAAGCATGTTGGTTATGTGAAACTGATTAACCCACAAACCCCTTCTCAATAAATGAACCACTGGGAATCCCATCTTAACTCAAAGGTTCTCAAAACAGTCTCTTGGTCGAGGACTGGTCAGAATATTGACTGTCATTTCTTTGGTTTGATAATATGCCAATTCAACAAGTCCATCTTGTACCACATCATACACATAGAGGTATTTCACCCCAATATGTTTGGTTCTTGCATGAAACATCTCACTTTCAAAGAGTCAGCAACAGTGTAATCTTTCTGTGTAATTAGAGAAAGCACATCTAAGTCCTGTGATTCTAAGAGCTCTGCCAAGAACGGATGAAATTGCTGTGTGCTGCTAATATTGGCTCATCTAGTGCATTATTGTCTACTTTGACTAGCAGTGACTAGATGTCTTTCCCATTATCCTGCCACCTGGTCTTTTAAACTGGAGACTGAATCTGGGATGCAAAGCATGGGATCTGCTACTGAGCTATAACATCCCACTGCCACCTCCCTTTATAACTTCAAAATAGCAGAACAGGTGACAAGCTGAGTCATTCATACAAATGTCTGTTGTTTTCAGCATTCAGTTCTACATACAGTTGCAAGTGAAATTATTCAACTCCCATTGCAAATCAGGTTTATTATCAAAATTTACAGGCATTCAGCTGTTTGCAATGAGCAAATCAAACAAAAGCAATTGAAATAGCTCAACACAGAATCAAAACAAGCAGTAAAAAAGAAGAATCAAAACTATGCATATTTCACTCGAATAGCATTTTGTTTAATAATACATTATTTGACTACATGGAGGCACACATAAGATAGGAAACAAAGCATTACATGTGCATGTTTGGATAACCACCTGCTAATCCAGCACAACTGGTAAGGAGAGTCACTCAATGTGCATTAGTCTCATTTAGACTCTGGGACCCGCTAACCTTTTAACAGCTCTTATCCTGAACTCAGGAGAGGGAGACATCAGTGTTGCACCATCTCTCACTGAAAAGTCTTCCTGTAACACCTTGGGAGGGTGAGTTAATTACACTTTGTTCTTCAGTTCTCCATTTATTGATGCTTCTGATATGGCACTGATCAGATCCTGCCGTCCAGGATTTCTCCTCTTGCATAAACTTTGGATGCCTTTGTAGATAGCAAACCCAGGGATAAACAGGCTTGGTATTCCTGCAAGGACTACGATGATAGCATAAACCCAGTCAGGATATTTTATCGACATTGATTTGGGAAACAGGTCCTGAGGAAAAGACGACACACCTTTCAGATAGTTGTAGGTGATGGTGCAGAAAAGATGGAAACATCCATTCCCATCCCCCTGAACTGCATTTAAGCCAGGCTCCTTGGAGTGCAGGAAGAGCAGTGCCAGAAACTTATATTTTTGCTTTTGCAAAGGCCAAATTGGTATACCCAGCACCGCTAAAGGGAACTGAGAACTCAGCTACATTAGTAAAGAAAAGGTGTATTAAAACACTGTGACACCAGACAGCGCTGCGGAGTTCTTTCGCCAATGTGATTTCACATTATGTTTACAAGAAAATTTACAAGCTTTTTTTAATGTGTCTATATCCAGTCTGAGGTCCCATTCAATGCAGGCATGCCTTAACAGGGATTGTGATCAATCATTTAATTTCAATTAGTAGCCGTAAGAGCAGGTAATTTATTTTCCCTAAGGGGGAAACAAATTGTTCTTCTTCATCTGCCCCAACAAGATATTCAGCAAATAGTCCTTGTGGGGGTGTGGGAAGGGTTGCAAACTGTGGATTGGGCAATCAAAGGCATGCTGAGCACAGCGTGAGTGAAGAGAAACCCATAAAATAACTTGGGGTGTGCTTCTTTGAACATGTGTACTTACGTATTCGGGATCCCAGACATTGTATCTTAATTCTTCTCCCACTTTCACCACAAAGTAAAAAAGGAAGATAACCAACATGATAAGAGGACTGATAAATCTCCAGGTGGCCTGCCAGAAGATATTGGGTTTGTGTCCAATCATGAACTTAATATCATCATTAAATCTGATAATAAAGAGAAAGGAAGTTTAGAGAAACCAAACTAATTTGGACAGATTAAGGGCCAACTCACACATGCATATTCATTACTTGGTAACTGCCATAAGAGGGCATTACAGGTACGTCAGAACTGACAGAACTTCCATTGCATTGCCTAAAACGTTATATCTTGTAATGGAATCGGCTCTCACATTCAGAAGCTGGTTATCAAGTGTAGACAAACTGTTGCAGGAATTTATAGGTTGCGGGGGGTTGCCCCTCCAGCAGATATCATGCACATGCAGCCCACTACCAAAACCAGCACAATTCTTTTTGTGACTTTTCTGATTTGTCCCTACAAAACACCCCATCACAGTTTCTTCCTATCTATTGAAAGGGTCTTTGCTGCACAATACCAAATGTAACAATTCACTGATAAATGTATCTATGTACTGGCTCACTGGGAAAACTTCAGAAATTCATATAGACATGTGAGCTCAGCTACTCAGCAGCCCCTCTGCCTGAGTGATAATTCCTGGTATCCTGTTACCTGAATGCCAGACAGGTAGCCATTCCAGGAATAACAAACCCAGATGAAGACAAAAGGGTGTGATTAACGTGGCTGGGAAACAGGGAAATGTAAATATCTTTTTTGTTACCCTTGATGGGTGTTTGGTGGAGGACAAAGAGAACCATGGGGCAGGGTCCAGGATGCAAAGCATTTTGCATGCATTATATTTGTAATCCTTAAAACAGTCCAGTAAGGTAGACTTATAAATCATTTAGAGATTTTATTACAATCAAGCAGTATATAATTTTTGTTAAACAAATAAAATTATTTTCCTTGTACTTTTGAGAGGCGGGTGGGAGAATAAGTGGCTTGCACAAATCTAGCTACAGAATTTTTGGCTGACAGGAATCCAGAGACACTTTCTATTTGAGAAAGTTTCACATCTTACCTGTCTATCCCATATATGTAGACAACGGAAAACATCTCGAAGAAAGCAATTATCAGCAAAGGAATGGAACCAGCAAAATTATCAAACAGAGCCAACCAATAGTTTCCTGATCTCAGCACAAAAATAATGGCAAGCAAGAAAGATGTCACACAAATCAATCCTGTAAAGAAACAGCAAACACGATCAAATAAAATAAAATGTGAAGCAGAAAGATTAACTAAGAAAATTAAATAAATATTATAATACAAGAAACGTTGGCAATACCTCAAGGATCAAATCAGCTAGACATGAAGAAAATGTATTGATCCAGTTTTCACACATCATGGTGAACAAGTTAACAGTTTATTGCAACCACACTGTCTCTCCCACCCTCTGCTCATTCTGGTAGGAAAGAAGCTGATTTCTGCCATAGTATTACATCCAATCCAGGAGCTATGATTTGTTTCATTCCAACAAAGCATGCTCAGTAAGCCAAGAAGAAACAATGAGTACAGGTTGTGGCTTGTTGTGAGTGCAACAAACCAGGATCCCTGGCTCAGACATCAGACACTAAGCCAAGAATGGTGTGTTTTTTCCTCTGAACAGTAGCTGGGAAGACAGAAACAGACCAAAAAAGTTGCAATCTATGGTTGACTGCAATGTGCGAACAAAGCCATTCTGTTCTTGGAACTCTATGGAGGATTTAAAGTCAAGGGGAAAAGAAAAGAAATGGCTCCTTCAATTATTGTTATAGATTTAGGAAGTCTTCTGAAATTCCTCAGCTAGACTGGTCCATCTCAAAAGAGTTACTGTGCAAAAAAAAAGCAAAAGCAAAAAAGCTGACTGCTATCCAAAGCTACATGCTCACAATCAACTCCCTTCTCCTCCATCAGCAATATTCAGCAGCAGGGGTTGCTTTACTGTGTTTGGCTGCAAATGCAGGTCCAATGAGTAGCTGCAATGATTTCACTCTGCCTGGCTTGCTGACAAAACTCATGAGCAAGTTGCTGACTTTTTACCATCATCTTTAAAACATGCTTCATTCATACTGGGTCAGATTCAACTAAGTTGTTGTGCTAGCAAAAGCCAACACAACAAAGCCTGTTGATGCAATGGTACTTTCCCCAGCCATCCTCTGCACCATGACAGCTGCAACCAACCCAAAACTCCTGAGGAGGGTCAGGAGGACCCCACAGAACAGGGGGAAAGGGAAAGAACATTCTTTCTAGCAAGCAGAAATGCTTTTTCTGATTGAACTATTGTCTTAGTGCAATACTGAATTCCACCCAATGAAAATAAAGTACAGTGGTGCCCCGCAAGACGAATGCCTCGCAAGACGGAAAACCCGCTAGACGAAAGGGTTTTCCATTTCGGAGGGGCTTTGCAAGACGAATTTCCCTATGGGCTTGCTTCGCAAGACGAAAACGTCTTGCGAGTCTCGCCATTTCCCCCCCGCTTCCCCCCCTTTTTCTAAGCCGCTAAGCTGTTAATAGCCTTTTAACAGCTTAGCCGCTAAGCCTTTAATAGCCACTAAGCCGCTAAATCGCTAATAGCGCTAATCCGCTTAGCCGCTAATGGGCTTGCTTCGCAAGACAAAAAAACTGCTAGACGAAGAGAATCGCGGAACAGATTCTTTTCGTCTTGCGAGGCACCACTGTATTACATCATTTAACTTGAAAGAAGCAATATACTACTTGAATTCTGATGACCACTTTGCAATCCCTCTGTTGCCACACCCTGATTATACTACCATTTTTTTCAACTAACCTGTAACAAGTTCCTTAGGCCATTTTTTCGGTATGATTTTGAGATCGTTCAGTGGCACCATAACACCCTCTATATTCCCAAACATAGATGATAAACCTAAGCAGAACAGCATGATAAAGAAGAGGATGGACCATATTGGCGAGGCAGGCATTTTGGTGATGGCCTCAGTGAAGACAATAAATGCTAAGCCAGTTCCTTCAACACCCTGCAGAAAATAGCAATAGATATAGATGTAATAAGACATACAATTATTGATCATTTTAAAATGCACTTTAAGTCACTCAGGTTAGACCAACTACAGCCAGCTTCCTAAGCCAATAGGACCGTATCATTTATCATTCTATCACTAACTGCTCTTCCACCAAATAACCCAAGGAAGAGTACAAGAATAGAACCAGATAAAATCATCACAAAAGCTACAATGAATAAAGTTTTTGCTCAAGCAACAGCAGCCATATGCTAAAATCAGTTATGATAATTTCCAAGAGGGTAAATAAATTCTCTCTCTCTCTTTCATTTATGTTTATATAATTTGGGTCTTACAATGGTCCAGGACACATGTGGTAAATCATAATCAATGGTTCACCAGTAATATGGAAGTGACTCGTGCTTATTGATATAAAGTCCTTTATTATAATCTTGTTAGCTTCCATGTTATCACCTTACATCACTTAAGAATGAGTCCAGGTCACAGGTCTGAAATGTAAGAGTTGCAAAGGTTGCTGGATCTGTTGTGTTGAGCCAAGCTTGCATTTGTTCAAAGTTTTCCTGGGTTACATTACCTTCTGGCAAATCAAATGCATTTGTCAGAGTGAGGATATTTCTGCAAATGCAAAAGGAAAGCAGTCAATGCCTCTTCGGTCAATGCCTCTTCACACAGATTTCTTAAGTTTTATCATTATGACAATGAATTAGTAAATAATTTTTTTATGCTCACAGAACAACACATTTAAAAGAATGCAGACATTACAGTGGGGTCAAAAGTAAGTTCTGACTTTACCATCTGCTTCCTAATTTCTATTGAAAATAGAAAGTATTTTGCTACTTTATCAGGCAGTAATAAAAATAGAGGCATCAGTTAAATAAAAAGATATCAGATCCTTAGAGGCAGAGTTCTTAATAATATGGAAGGGTATGCCTCCCAAATCCTATATTTCCTGTGCCACAAGGACAAAGTTGTTAGCTAAGTTAAGTAAGAGAGCTGAGGGCAGAACATTAAAATAAATTAACTTACATGTTCTCTCCTATTTGTAAATAGCTAATGTTTGCCCAGATACAACAAGGGTTATTTGTACATAGAAAATGTTCTGGCAACCACATGCCCACTGTTTCCCCACATCATTGACAGTTCTGCCCGTGTTGCTTGCTTATTAGAGAAGACAACTGATCCCACAAACCCCTGGATCTATAATTGTCTGTGCAATTGGCACTCATATTGGGGAGGGGGAAGAGAACAATGATCTGGGATGCTTTAACTGGAAAACAAGGAAAAAAAACTTACTGGCTAAAGCAATTGTCATATCTCTCTGTTGCTCTGAATCCAATGATTGAGTATATGACAGTAGCTGCATAAATGGATGTGAGGCCATTAATCACAGAGATAGTCAGAGCGTCCTTTTCACAGTTGTTACTGGAAACCAAAACACAGAAACAAGCTCACCGGGTGATCTTGGGCCAGTCACTGTCTCTCAGGCTTATGTACCTCTGGGACTTGTTGTGAGGTAGAAATATGCGGGGTGGGGTGGGGTGGAGAAACATGTGTGTGAGCCCTGGTTGCTCAGTTTCCTACATCTTGCATGGTAAGAATTGTGCTACAAACAGTAATACACAGTCTTCAATATGAAAGAAAGGAGAAGGAAGGACTTTTCTAGACCTTGATCTTGAGTTACCTTGTTTTGTTCTTCCCATTTGTGTTTTGTTTTGTTTTTGTTTTGCTCATGAAGAACATATGCCTTCCTAGATACTTATGAGATAGGATTGGGGGGTGTCACTGTCAAGAAAGGAACTACTACCAATTGTGAAATTGTGTTCTAAAATTGACTTTTTCTATTTGGTATGGCAACTTACTGAATTGAATTATAACTAGAGAATGAGATGAGGCCTCCAAAGGCAAGGGAAAATGAAAAGAATACTTGAGCTCCGGCATCAAGCCAAGTGGTTGGGCTAGCCAATTCTGCAACCTGAGGAACAGAACAAAAGAACTTCAAAAATTGGATAACTTTACAGCTAAAATGGAACAAAGGCATGTCCTAGCTGACTCTGAGCATGCAACCTGTTCATTTAATATAAAGTGTGGTATGGGAGAATCCCACCGCTAGGACCATCCTACTGCTGTCATTCAGTGCATAATCCAGCAGGCAGGTTGAAGGAACTGCCCATAGGAGGAGAAGGGTGCAGAATGGACAGGCAAGGCAAGGAAGGCTATGCGTGTGGACAGCCAGGCAAAAGATTTCCAACAGAAACCTGCCTTAGTCCTGTCTATCTAGCTCCTTCCTGTCAACACTGACTGCCAGCAGTCCTCCAGGGTCTGACGAAGAGGCTTTTCCTACGTCTTTTACTTGCGATCTTCTTACTGGCTATGAACCATGCTTGGACCTCATTTGCTACCTGTGTGCAAATGATATATGCTTCCATTGAAATAGGGCACCTCCCATGCTCTTGATTAAAGAGATGAGTTGCTCGGACTGAAGAGCCAGGCAGATTGAGGGTTTTATGTGTCAAGGTGGAACACAATCCCCCCCCCCCCAGTCATCTGGGAAACTGCTGAATCAGCAGGTGATATTTGCAGGAGCCTCAGCTAACACGTTAAACACATCTGCACAGGTAGAAGAGGGCAGGGCATCACCATTTACTATGCAACCCCTCTCCCTCAGCCAAGTGGCATGTCTGTCTGTCTATATGACTTTAATCATAGAGGGCTTAATGATATCCAGGAAATAATCAGTGTAAATAATGCTGCAAATGGCTCATTTCTCTTCAAACTTCCAGTTATTCTGTTTACTTGGGGTGGTGGGTGGGGATCTAATCAATACTTACATCAGGCGTGAAGAGATATACAATTCCATTGGTTGATCCTTTCAGTGTTAAGCCACGGATCAGGAAAATTGTAAGCACAACATAAGGAAGTGTTGATGTTACATACACGGCCTGGAGAAGGAATATGTCAATTGAATACGCACAACATGAATACGCCTCTTTTGTTACTCTTCTTCTTTCATTCCTTCCCATCCACAGCTCTATTTTCTCCCACACTGTTGAAATTTTTATTTGTCACTTTCAGAGCGGAGAACTGCCTTCCCCACTACTTAACATTACTCTGTAAATCGCCATGTGCATTGATGGCACAACATAAACCCCCAAGGAAAATTTAAAGCATGGGGTAAATTTGTTTCAATGAAAAATGGCATGGAAAGGTGCCGATACATGTTGTTGTTGCTAGGCTTGATCATTATTATGAACTGCTTAAATTTTAGCATGTTTTTAAAACTTTGTTTTATATTAGGGCTCTGTATAGCCGAGCGGCACATTGATTGAGACAACTGATAAAAATAACAAGTAAATAAAATAAATAATAAAGTGAAAGCTGAGGCAGGGTGGAGAAGGATCTGTTGGGAAAGAAGTGGCCGGCAACAAGGAGAATGTTTTGCCCCCTTCTGGCCCAAAGATACCATCCAGGGTATTAAACACACTCCAAGCCCCACTTAAATCAGCACACACACAGACAGGTCTGTGAGCCCAGTTTGGGGGAAAGCAGCTGCAGCAATCCCTAAAATGGTTGGAAAACAGAATATAAGAAGTAGCTCTGATTTCGTTCATACAAGACAAAAGTACCTTTCCTGTTGTTTCAATGCCTCTAATTGTGCACACGTACACCACTCCCCAGGCACATACTAAACATAACAGCAGCCACCACTGTACAGTTCCAGTCTCGTCAATATTGGTGGAGACATTTAATGTCTTCCTGTACCAAAAATAATCAACAGAAGAGCTCTTTGCACATTCGTACACGTAACCTGAAACCAAAGAAACAGTCCTATTAAGCAATGCTACAATCCAGTGGGAAGCTTTTCTGTGCAAGCTCCATTATAATGAAAAGCCACAGTGCACTCTTGCACATCTCCCATTAATTTCAACAGAGCGTGCACAATAACTTTTACAGATTTGTTTCATTTAAAGAATCTATACCCTGCTTTCCATTGCTTGTCTCAGAGCACTTTACAGTAAAAATAAAACATACAATGTACAAGATTTAAAACATTGGAAACAGAAGCATTAAAACAAAGGTTTCCGGGGGTGGGGAAACATCTTAACCTAGCATCTGACACTTAGCAAGGACGATGACTGCCCGATTTCGAACTTTCAGTGGCCTATGCCACAAGTTTGTTTTTTATTTTGTTTTAAAAACATCGGCAAGAAAGCACCTGACCTTTGCAAGGACACTGAGAGTGGCTTGTGAAATTCATACCCAACTGGGGTGCCTCTTTATGCAATTGAGATGTTTTGAGTCAATTCTTCTAATCAATTAATCAGTAAAACCTGCAGACTTATTTAAAATAAATATGACAGGGTGTGGGTGAGTGGAGTTGCTATTTCTTCCTCCTCTGCCTATCAACCTTTGACCAGTCACTCCTCTTCCCTCAAGAACAAAAGAGAGAAGCACACATTGGCATTGCATGAAATGCAGCACACAGCCTGGTAGAAACTGAGCTTTTCTGTCTGAGTGCTTTTTAAACTTTTGCCCTGCCATTTTCCCCAGGAAAACCTGCTCTTTAACTCTGAATTGGAACAAACAGCAATTCGGGTTTTCCTCGGATTGCCATAAAGTGTGGGCTTTCCTGGGGAAAGTGGCAGAACCCAAAAAAAAAAGTGCAGACCTATGCCTAGAAATTCAGCACAAAAGCAAGTCTGGGTGAGCCCTTTGTTTGACTGATAGTTTCAGCCAATTGGCTACTTTTAATTGGTGGTCACTTTTTTTATTGAGTATAATAATCATTGCCACCCTAGATTGCCGGTAGAAAGCAGGCATGGATTTATTTAAACCAGTCAGACTTTACCGAGTCGCCAAAACATAATTCATTTCCAGGGCAGTTCACAAAACAACAACAAAACAGTTAAAATGCCATGCAATTTCTAAGCCAGACTAAAAGATTACAACACCTTGAAAATAATGTTAAGGTCAGTTCTCATAGTGATTTTCAGAATTCAAGACGCAACACTTGGCTCAACCTGCTAAGACTATAGCTTACCCAACAGGCCTTCCAAAACAGCCAAAGGAAAGCCAGTGGTGAGTCGAACCGATAAGCCTCCCTTGGAAGAGAATTTCAGATCATGGGCACCCATTATTGAGAAAAGTCTGTTCCTCAAAGTCATTGGCAGTTGGAACCGTAACTCACCCTTATTTCCAAATGGTTCTGATGCCAGGATAATGTGCAGGATAGCTCAGTTAATATAGCTTCCTGGATCTTGGCCCTTCTGTTTGGACAGTCACTTAGATCTTACCACTGGGCAATAGTGATGTTTCTGGGATTTCTCTGCACCCACCAGCTGTGCTCAGGGCTGGCCTTGCTATGCAGCAGTGTGAAATAACCTGCTTCGGGTGACACTATGAAAGGGAATGGTGTCTGAAGGCAGGAATTGTTGCCTGAATGGTGGTTCAAGACATTTTAAAGTGTTATTCTTACCATGGGGAGATGCCATTTGGGAAGGGACCTAGAAAATCTGCTTTGCATGCAGAACATCCCACGATCAATCCCTGACATATCCAGGTAGGATCGGAAGAGACTCCTACCTAAAACCATGGACAGTCACTGCCAGTCAGTGCAGACAATGGTGAGGTAGATGGACCAATGGGGAAATCCCTATGTTCCTATATTTGTTCCTAATGGCCAGCATGAGGCAGGAGGTGGGGTGATAGAAAGTATTTATTGGTTAGATCCAAACTATGTAGGACACATTTGCTTTCCAATGAAATCAGTGAGCCTAATATTAGTGAGAAATGCAATTAATTTACTGGCCCCTACACAAGGTTTTCATATGTGTAATAAGTGAAATAAAATAACGTTCTGCCCTGAGCCTTACGCTACAAAATGGTCTTGAGGAAGCTTTCCTATTGTTGTTGTCTCCAGCTCAGCAGATTAAAACATTACCCTAGTTCAAAATGATCTTTGGTAAAAGACTGTATTTTCTTATGCTGTTTGCAGAGAGAAGCCTCTTCATGATAGACTGCTAACTATTACAAGCATAATCTGTACCTGTTCTGTTTTCATCAGCAAGTGGGCATTCACTCCAAGGCAGTGGCTCTTGGAATGAGTTGAAGAAATACCACATCACCCAAGCAATAATAGTATTGTAGTATAAGCCCACAAAGAAGGAGACAATCATTGCTGCTATACCTGTAGGAATAGAGAGAAAGCATTTAGATAGATCCTTTTTGTATTTAAAAAAATAATAATGATTTTGAGGAACAATGATGAGGAAATGAAACTGACAACAGAACAGACCTTAAGAGGTGCAACAAAATTTTGAAGATGTATCCCTGTCCCTTTCCACACTGAAATATCTAGTACAGTGGTACCTCGGGTTACATATGCTTCAGGTTACACCCTCCGCTAACCCAGAAATAGTACCTCGGGTTAAGAACTTTGCTTCAGGATGAGAACAGAAATCGCACGACGGCGGCACGGCAGCAGCGGGAGGCCCTATTAGCTAAAGTGGTGCTTCAGGTTAAGAACAGTTTCAGGTTAAGAACGGACCTCCGGAACGAGTTAAGTACGTAACCAGAGGTACCACTGTAGTTTTCTAAGAATAATCCACAGAAGGAAGCAGAAATCTCCATATATTTAAGGGTGCTGACCTCACAAAGCTACAATTCCCAACACCCTTGACAAAACATAGTGCCCAGAATTCTCCATGACTGTTTGAGTGGCACAAGAGGGCTTTGGATGTATGGTGTTAATTGTTAAAATCAATCTGAGGCCACAGACTGGTCCCTTATCAGTGTGTGTATCTGAGTTTCAGTCTCAAGTCAAGAAAGAAAGTCCAAATTACTTTTCACCAATACATAATATACACATAACTGATAAAGGACAGCTTGTTGGATTTTATTGAAAGACTTGTCTCTTCCCCCTTCAACAAAATCACTGTCCATTTCTTAAAGAAAATGGAAAAGTAGGACCATGTAGATTGCACTACTCTTCCATTTTTTCTCAAAAAAGAAGCCGGGACTTTCTGCTCCAAGAAAAATGACTGGAGGGTTGCAAATTGATTATAGTGGTGTGTGGAACCCCCCAATAAAATTTGAGTGAGTGAGGCATGGTGATTCCAACCTAAACACCTTGCATGAAAGCATATGTATGCTTATAATGCCAAAATGTTGCTGAGTACTGTATTAAAATACGTTAAAACTTACCTACGCCCTTCAGGGCGGGATGGATAGCACTCCAGACACCCACACTACCTCTTCTAAGTCTTTGTCCAATGGCAAATTCAAGGTGGAGCAATGGGATGCCTTCCAGGACAAGCAAAATGAGGAAAGGGATCATAAAAGCTCCTGCAGGGGTAAAATCCAAAATGAGTATGTTTTATACCCAGGGTGGAGAACCTGTGGCCTTCAGATACAGCTGGACAACAACTCCCTCCATCCCCGACAATTGACCGTATGGGCCAGGGCATGGGGGCTGATGGGAATTGAAATCTAACAGCAACTAAAGAGCTGCAGTTCCTGATTGTTTTATTTTTCTTTAAATGCAAAAGGGCAACTGGGACAAAGTGGTAAGGATGCAATGGTAAGGAAATGCAGAAAAGGAGATACAAGAGCAATTGTAGCCAGTGGCGTAGCATGGGTTGTCAGCACCCGGGGCAAGGCAAGTAATTTGCGCCCCCAACCCGTGGATTTGCGCCCCCTAACCCGTGGATTTGCGCCCCCTAACCTGTGGATTTGCCCTAACCCCAGATGTTGCGCCCGGTGCGGCCGGCCCCCCCTGCACCCCCCACGCTATGCCACTGATTGTAGCATATCCTTTTGTGAATAATGTATATTTTACCACGGTTTTCTAAAGAAGCAAGTAAAAACAGTGCACTACTGCAGAATTTCAGGCATCATCTGTCGCCACACTCTAATATACTATCAACATGATTACCTCTTCAAAATGAAACTCGGGTATTCTCAGGAGAGTCTTACTTCTATACATTGAGGCAGAAGTTACAAAATAAGACTCAAACCCATGTGTGGGGTGGGGGACAGACTGGAGTAAAAGGGCATCAAAATTATCTCTTTTCTTTAAAAAGTACTTGTAGTTTTATAGCCAGCATTGCTTGGGAATTCCAAGAAACCCAAAACTCAGTGTGGTTTTGAAATTGGTGGTTAACATCAGTGCAGTTTTGAAAGGTTCATTCTGCCATCTTGTTTAAAATTGTATCCAAACATAGACCAAAAAACCCCTACTCGGAAGCCATCATGCAAAATTGGGCTGTGAAGCATCCAAATGCGTAGCAAACAGCTTTCCAAAATGCATAGTACAGTAGATTCACTAATTTTCCCATAGCCAATTGCTCACTGGGCGTGTTGTCTGTTTCTTAAGCAAAACAGCATGTCAAAAGAGCAAGAAAAATGATCCAGAATAGCACTGACAAAATCATTTATCTCATACGGCATTTCTGTTCAGTCACTAACTGAATATACTGGAATATTTCCCTCCAGAGGGGAATTCTCTTACAGAATCATCATAAATCATTTAATAGCCCTGTGCAGAAAAGTGATGCTTTTTAAACTGTTTTAATCCAATGCTGAAACATTTGTACAGCTCTACCTTAGAAAGCGGAACATGAAGTAAATTCTCTCAAATGGTTAAGATGCTCTCACATTACCCTCTATGTTGAAATTTGGAGCACACATTGTGGTTACCTGAAAAATCTGAAAGTGGCACTTTTTTACATTGAACAGCTGAAGTTCAGGAGGCAAAGTTTATCTCATAATGTAGGCCTGCACTCCAGGCACACATTGAAAACAATCTTAGGCTGATGTTTACCTGCTAGAACTAGCATGCAGGGTGGGGATTTCCTATAACAATGAGGAATGTGTGTCTGAGCAAAATGCAAGCTTCTCTTACTAATATTTAATTGCCATGTTAATCAGTACGCCAAATATGTAACACATTGAGTACAGTACTGAAAGTTTAGAAATTGACATGTCTCCTTCAGTGAGTGAGAATGTGTGACTGGCTTTTAAATAAACACTTTCCTGAGATAAAGATTAACACACCCGAAATGCAGTGAAAGCAGGACAGGAGGAATGGGAGTGAAAAGAAATCCCTGAATTTGTTTTTTAAAATTAAAAAAGAAAATTGTCAGAAGCAGCTTGAATCTCTCTCAGATTGTTGGCCTGCCTGTATGACGTCAAGCAGATCATTATACACAGTGGATCAGCACTTTGGCAAGGTGGAGATTCAGTAAGTATATTAACAAAGAGATTTAGTGGGATATGGACTTTAACCAAGTGAATGCAGTGACATATGTTTTCAAGAAGCCTCGGACTTACCCAGATGGCACTGTGTCTCCCTTTTTTAGAATGTGCTAAAGCCAGGATAATAAAGAAATAAACAATACAAATCTCCCCTTTCCCTGTTGTCGTTTGTCTATTGTGTTTGTTTTTGCAGTGTGAGCAAGTCTGTATGTGTAGCTGGAATAATATTTTGTAGGCAATGGTTGCTGATACATGGGTAGGGTTATTTTGCTCAGGGTAAGGGACAGGTATGAATGGGACGCGGGTGGCGCTGTGGGTAAAAGCCTCAGCGCCTAGGGCTTGCCGATCGAAAGGTCGGCGGTTCGAATCCCCGCGGTGGGGTGCGTTCCCGTTGCTTGGTCCCAGCACCTGCCAACCTAGCAGTTCGAAAGCACCCCCGGGTGCAAGTAGATAAATAGGGACCGCTTACTGGCGGGAAGGTAAACGGCGTTTCCGTGTGCTGCGCTGGCTTTCCAGATGCAGCTTTGTCACGCTGGCCACGTGACCCGGAAGTGTCTCCGGACAGTGCTGGCCCCCGGCCTCTTAAGTGAGATGGGCGCACAACCCTAGAGTCTGTCAAGACTGGCCCGTACGGGCAGGGGTACCTTTACCTTACTAAGGGACAGGTAATTTTAGAGGGGTGTGAGTGGATTGGTAGATCTTATTTTTCTGAATTTTTCTTCTGCAGTAAAAGCAAACTTGCATGAAAAGACACAGGTCCTAAAATATTACAAAGTGATTAGCTGCATCAAGTAGTCTTATATTTCAGAGCATTGCCCCCAAATATACTACAACATAAAGTAGGTGCAATGGTAACTATTTTAGACCTATTTTAATTGCATGAAAGTTAGAAAAACCTCTGAATTATGAAAAAAGCTGCTTAATTTAATAATGATAATAATGATAAAACCACAACCACCCGTGGGAACTGGGTTGTTCACAATAGTAATCATTTGTACAAAGCACAGCATTTCTTGACTAATCCTAATTTTAAATTAGCTCATGTTTGTATTTAAAATGTTAATGACTGTTTCCCTTTTACAGTCAGACACACATGAGAAACCACAAGAAATTTGGGTCAGCCTTTCTTAACTTTCTGAGAATGCCCATTTGTTTAGAAATTTGTACCTCTGTCATTATTGCTGCAATTCCATGCATGTTATAGTCAGGCATTTGGCTGACTGAACTCAACAGAACTTCATTCTAAATAAATGCAACCATATAGCACAATCATATGCAAATCTCTCAATTTCCTCAAATGATAGGGTACATGATTGCTTTGCACGTTCTCTCTAAACTAGGCGTGGTTTTTTGGTCATTGAAAATCATAGTGATTGAGAAAAACATTACAATTTTCCGCTCCATTCAAGCATTTTCACTCAATAAATGTCTGCCTCCACCATCTGCGTGATCTGAGACATACCTCCTCCGTGGCTCTGGCAGAGATAGGGGAATCGCCATACATTGCCCAGGCCTACACAAAACCCTATGCAGGTGAGCATGTATTGTGCCTTATTATCCCATTTGGGTCTTGAATCCGCCTCTGTAGCCTCAAGGTTTTCAAGGTCCTCATGGGAAGGTATTCTCAGTTCCAAGTTGGGGTTTGGCAGCTGCAGTTTTACCATGATGTCTCTGTGCTTGGATGTCCTTGCTCAAGAATCCGTAGCTGGTTCTGGGGCCGGCCAAAGAAAGGGAGCCTTGGCTGCTGGCTTCAGCTCTTTATAGTGAACCTTTGACACTAAACTTGATGGTGCTGACTTGGGGTAGAAAGGAAGCGTCAGCAAGTCATTTGATTAACCAAGGTTACTCAGAGACTTATTAATGCCTTATCTGCCAAAGCTCCAACTGAGCGCAGTGATTGCGTGGTATCAAAATGATCAAGACAAGTAATGGCAATTCACAGGGCAATTTGCTCCAAGGTACATAAAGCAGTATGTTTAAATAGACCTTGCCACACCCCTCTGCTAACCATCATTTGCAATAAAGTGAAGGACATTATCCCAGCAAAATCAAAGCCCATAACCAAGTTCCTGTAACTCCCTACAATCTCTGTTAGTAATCATGCTTGCTGAGACCTCCCGCCCCTTCCAGTATCTGCACATCCTGCATCGACGCCTTTACAAGGCTTATATTTCATTATTCTTAGTAAGCAAAATATTTGGGCTATAGATCAATTTGGGTAAAAGTGTTACAGGTGATTAGAAATGAAGTTTTGTGAGACACTTAACATGTTTAAGAAATGGTACCAAAAAATTAAACCAAAGGGTGGATTCCTCAATTTGATTTAGACGTTACGGAACTCTGAATTTCATTAGAAGTAGCAGGGGGAACTGCTCTGCTGGCAAGGAGGGTTCTGGCCTATCTGAAGGGTTCTAACAGCCTCTCTCAGCCATAGAGATGAATGAATCTGTAAATTTTGGTTTTTCTTTTGTTTCTCATTTTTCTAATCTTAAATTCGATTCAGCACATTCCTGAATCAATTTGCTTCTTTAAAAAGGTAATCACAAAAATCAGTTTTTGTATTCATTGGCATGCATTTCCCCTAATGTACACATTGTTTGGACAACTGCAATGCAAAATCCAAAGTAGTGTGAATTTCAAAGGATAACTGTTGGTTCATTTATTGTTTCAGAAAGTGCAAATTAGATAGGTTCCCATTAAATTGTGAACTGAACTGAACTGTGTTTTCCCCGCTATCCCTCCTCAGTCAGAAGCTGAACAAGATCAAATTTAAGTACAGTACTGTAGTAGAAAAGTGCTGGCCCAGCTCACATTTCTGATGTTCCCATATTTAAACAGAACATTACTTTCCCCACAACCAGTCTGGAAATTATCTGAAATTCCACCTAGGATTTGGTGCAAACAGTATCCTACTTTCCTATGACATATACCTTGGAGAAAGAAGTGGATATGAGCATACCCTCAGGGTATTCATTGTGCAGACGTTAAAGATTGCCAGAATCAGAAATTAATCCTGTTATTAGCTGAAGGTGACACATTTAAAGTATCCACAGTTGACAATCTTTAAACCAGGACCAGATAATTTTGTAAAACACTTGATCTCTGTATAACTTGAGGGAATTAAAACACACTATTTTTAGCAACCCATTTTAACTTTAAATATTGAAAAATATTGAAGAGCTGTGTCTTAGTAACTGCAAATTATGATAGTTTATTCCAATAAAACACAAACACAGTGTCTTGAAAAGAAAGAACTATGAATTCAAATACTCACTTTAACCATTTAAATTCTGGCAATACATGTATGAGTAAGTTTCAAAACCAACATAAGCACTCAAAGATGAAATGAGGGTTCAGACACCAAGTATACAGGAGAGGTTTAAGCACCCTCAACTTCTAAAACAATTGCACTAAGTTAGAAAGCTGAGTTCTTTAGAAATCATTCATGTCATTCAAAAGATACAGGCAGCAACAATTTTCTGGTGGTGATAATGCTTTAGGAGGGCTGACTGCTTCCAGTAAAAATTTGCTGTAGTATCGGTGGGAACAGAAAGCTGGTGGGAGAAGGAGAAAGGGCTATCACACTGAGAACACTGCTTGACAATGTGGAATATCAGCAACTTGGGTTTTCCAGGGGAAAGGAAACCTGTGATAAGGCTCATCCACACTACCTAGAAAGCATGGGTCCGAGTGGTTTTCCTGTTGCCCTGCTGCTTTCCCAAGGAAAACATGCTATTTAGTGCTGAACTGGAGCAAACGGCGAATCCATGGGAAACCTGATTGACGTTTGCACCAATTCAGCGGAAAAGATCGGGTTTTCCCGGGAAAACCAGTGAGAGAAGAGGAAGTCTGGATGAGTCCTTCTTACACACTAGAACATTTGTGCTGCATTCCTTTCAAAGCTGTGCTTATCAAGTCACATCACTGTCCCCACCCTCATCTCTTCACAACATGCACGCAGACAGACAATATTGCACCACTCTAGAAACATGGGAGATACACACACACACACACACACACACACACACACTATGCTAACAGCACACAATCGCTTATCCCTAATATACAGGAATTAAATTAACTGCCATGCTACATCGTTTGGGGAGCATGAAGCCTTACTGGTATATATATATCTTTTCAAACCCTCAACAGTACATTTTAGGGGGTTTAAAAACATAATTTTTGAGGAATTAGCATCAGAAAATAACAATTTTTAAGCTCACTTTTACAATAAAAATAACAAGGCAAATAACAAGGTACACTGTCTAAGAATATGACATCGAAAAGCAACTAGGGTAAGGGAGGAAGTAAGTTATCTCCAGTAAGAATTGTTCCAGGTATTCATTTTTTTAAATTGTCCCGAAACTTTTCAGCTCAATGACCCCCTTTTTTCAAAGAATGTATGTGTGGTTATTATCCTGTCAAAATTGAGAGTGTTTGTGGGTCTTTTCACCCACAGTTCTGCCCTCCCAATGTATTCTTGTTACTGATTTATTAGAATTACATGAGGAAAGGCTTTTGAAAAAACAATACACAAAAAGATTATTTGCTTCCTGTGCTCCTGAATACAAAACTTCAGACATCATCATACACATGCAAAACACATGTCATTACATTAATAGTCTCAGTAGGTTTTAGGGATCAAATTAATCTCTAACATAAATCCCTTACTGGAGCCAATGTGAATACTATACTGGCTCCTGCTAGGAAGTCTAGATGCTTTAATGTTATTACATTACCTTTTCAATAACTCTAAAAAGCCTTTAGCTTTTAACTCCACATTTTCCTCTGCTCTCTTTTGTACGGCTGCAACTTGTCCTTTCTGCGGGGCATTCTCTGTATTTTTTGTCCTGACATATGCCGCAGATTCCCCTATGTGCAAAGAAAAATTACGAATTATATGGGGAAAGAGAACAATTACTCTGAATTCAATTCAGAAAGTATAAAATCAACAGTGGCAACGCTAATGTGCACCACCTTGTAGTTTGAATCTCTCGTGTTTTTCTACATGAAAGAATATTTGTGGAGTTGGTAATAGGAAATAAGGCTTTTTTTGGTGCAGTACCACATCTGTGCAACACTTTCCAGTCTTTCCCGTGCCAGACAAATTTTTTTTTTTACTCTCGCTTTTTCATCATTTGAATTGGGTTTTAATCTCTTCTAAAACTTGTTTTATTGTTCTGCTATTTTTAATCCTTCAAATCTTTTTATTAGGTGAACTGGAATGTGGTTTCATTTTAATTATGTATTATGTAAGCTGTTGTAAGCTGTTCTGAAAATAGAAACACTAAAGAGTGGAGCATAAATAATTTCAAGAGATAAATAACATGAAAAGTCTTCACCAGTTTGGTGAAAACCTGAGGCAGTTTATAGTTGTCACAGTTGTTTGCTGTCTTAACTCAAGGAAGGTCAAGATATGATCTTCATCACACAATTTTAAGGTGAGTTGCCCAAGGCCAAGTGAACTGAGATTTTTAATCTTGGTGTTCCCAGTCCAAGCCCAGTACTATAACTGCTACACTACACCAGCTGTCATACCCTTCCTCCCCCCTTTTATACTATATCTTGTTCTGTAAGTATTGATGTGATTCCTACGCAACCAAGGACAACCAATGGGGACCAGCTCAATGACTGTCATGTGTAATGGCGACTTGCCACACCCCCTAAGTCCCATTGCATCTGCGCTTACTATTTCCCTTTTTCAGTCGGCTTAAACACTTCTCTGGGGTTTCTCTGAAGCTTCTCAAGGTACAGCAACCTATGGCTTCCAGGTGTAAGTGTCTTTACAATAAATTGAGACTACATGGGCTTATGAAAAAAATAACTAAATTACTGGAACAGAAAAAAATATTAAAGTTTTAAGGAAAAGATATTACAGGGAAAAGTTACAGAAAACCAGTATATTTCCCAATGGAGCAAAATAATAAAATGAAATAGATTAAAATATGATCCTCTTTCCCTTGAGGTAAATCTCACTTTCTCTCATACACTCCTCATACAGTCCTTCTTTCCTGCCTTTCTCTCTGGCATTCAAATCCTTTTCTTATTACACTGATATCCACATTTATCTGCCCACCTCCAAGGTAGCTGCCTTTGTCTAAGGCCCAATTCCTTCACATCATGATTTGAACCCAAGCTTCCAAGTGCATTTCTCTTCATAGGCTCGACACCTTTACAGTAATAATTTCATACTTACACAACCTCTTATTTTCATAATCATTGTTAACAGTAGCAGAGCCACAATATTGACACGCAATTTCTTCTGGCTGATTCTGGGGGGAGAGGAGCAAAAATAATTTAGATATTTTTTCCTTTCCCTTAATATTTATTTAACATATTTACAACTCGCCCTATGTCACATATTATGGTGGGAAACAATGGTTTCAATTAAGAACAAATGATAATCAAAGCGTCAGGACTGCTAGATTCTTCATCATCCATTTTAAAGCTACTTAGCATAATCTATAAATGTCCTAAATTTATACCAATTCATTTTATAATATCTATCTATAATATTGCTGTGAAATTAACTTTATCCCCTCTAGTCTGCATTTTACACAAACATTTATTAGCTAACCACAATGAAGGCCATGGAGAATGGATGCGGAGAATTCACATGTGAGAGAAGGGCTGCAAGTTGGGGTGAGATTTCACAGCCTTTCCACGTGGATTTATCAATGTTACACTGGACTAGACATTAATATGTAGTCAAGAGAAAATAGTGGCAACTGTAAGGGGGAGAGACAGCTACAAAACAGCAAAAGATCTTGAGAGCAGAGGTAAGCAGAAAGTATAAAAGGACAGAGTAATTATCCGGGTGTAGGATTTGAGCATTTGGAAGGGATTAAACTGAACGGGAAGAAACCCATTTACCCTACCTAGAGTTCCTCAGAGGAAGAGTGGGATTAACAGGGTGATAAAGTAGGAGATAAACCAAGATAAGTTTCAGGCAATTGAAAAGAGGACATAGGCACATGTAGTCTATGAAGCTTATACTGAATTTATGATCAGTTTAGTCTGAAAAGTCGATACTAAGACTCAAAGTTCAAATCATTCTAATCTAAGACCAGCATCATTGCTCTTCTAGGACAAGATTTTCTGTTTTCTGTTCGTAAACTTTCAGCTGAAGATACAATTTGAATTCCTCAATAACTCGTGGAAATATACATCCCAACTTTAAATAATGTATCATCATCTAGAGCACCTATGGACATAGCACACTTCATAAAGACTTACGGTAAATAAAAGTGCCCCTGTCCACAGACTTATGCCTGGGGGGGTTACATCTAATTTTGACTACTGTAACATTCTGTACATGGAGCTGCCATTGTGTTCAGAAACTCCAGCCTGATTCAGAATGTTGCAGCCACAGTATTGATCAGAGTACTGCTAGTTAGTGGAACTCCCAACAACTTCACTGGCTATTGGTCCATTTCTGGGCAAAATTCAACATGCTTGTTATGATCCTTTATTACTTTAAGTCCTTTATTACTTGAGATCCAATTATCTAAAAGACAGTTGTCTCCCATGCACGACTGCCAAGGTTTTTATAGTCAACAACGTCATGTCAGGGCATGTCCTGCCAACATCTGGAGCACAAGAAATCAAGAGACTTTCTTGGTGGCTGCTCCCAGATTCTGGAACACCTTGCTTAGAGAGACCCAGCTAGCCCTGTTTTTGATGACCTTCCACCAGAAGACAAGTATGTTTTTATTCAGACAGGCATATCACCCATAAGCTGGCTACTTATGGCCATTGTAAAGATGGTACAATTGACTTAAAGTGGTTTTATTGAAATGCTTTAGTTGCCCTGCTTTTACGCTTCTTACTTCATATTTTGTTCACAATTTGGTGATGGAATGGTGGGATACCAATTTAACAAATCAATATATATAACATTAAAGATGGGAAGCACAAGAAAAGGGGAAGAAGAAGGAAATATATTTCATATCTTCACAAAAATACAATCAGTTACAAATGCATGGAAAACAAGTTATGTGAAGTTTCTTTGTCAGAGGGTTAGTACTTGATGTATATCCAGCTCACACTTGTTTGTGCCTTCAAACTAGAAGTTTGGTGTTATGTAATTAAGAACCTAACTACCCTTCCATGCAAATGTGTGTAAGTCGCTTTGTATTTTCAAACTGGGATATGTGGAATTTGAGGAGAGTATTTAACTTTTTTCCTGCCCACAATTTCCCTACTCTGCATTGCTACTCTACCAGGCTTCTTTCTTCCTCATGTATGCCATGCTAAAACCATGGTTGGAATCAATGATGTGTTGCAATATTTGCTATCAAAGCTTCTGGTGGAAGGTAATGCTCCTGCACATAGTCATATCAACAGATTCAATCTCGATCTAATGTAAAAAATAAATAAAATACATTTGATACCAGAGTTGGATAAACTGCGTCTTCCCGAAGTCTCTTGTTTTCAAAGCCAACTTCTAGCTTGGCTGTGTCATGAATACAGGTTGTATTTTTAGTCACATTTCTGCAAAGTAAAACATAAAATATGTATCTCATTTGTATTCTGCAACAACAGAAAAGACTAAACATCCATTTGGAACAACTTTTTATAAATTGAGTATTTTGCCAACATTAAGCAAGAAAACTTTTAGGATATTTCCCCCCCTCATATGTATGATAATTAAATAAAGATGAACTGCTAAGTGCCAACCTGTTTGTTTTCAAAAACATTTTTAAAAGCAGTTTTATTGTACAACTTATATGTGGATCTGTTTCATACACTGCAAAGCGATCATTTTGCTACACAACAATTTGATTTGTTTTTTAAAAGAGGTGTTATTGCTGAGCCCTTTTTAAAATCACTTTAACTTCTATTTTTTCAATGTTTCAGTCTGATTTGTGATGAATTAACATTTTATTGCAGATCTTTATTTGATTGCATTAGCTGCATTTCTTGATTTTTAATGTAATTTTACATATTTCAACTAAATTACTATTATATGTTTAGCTGGGAAACTGTTGAATATTTTGATGGGAAGGCAATGCATGTAAACATTGTGGGCCAGTTCATATCAAACCCTAAACCAACACAGCCCATGGCCCACCACCAGCATGCAGCCACTGACGGATGCCCCTGAAGGGAAAGTGGCTCTCAATGGGCGTGTTGGTGGGTGTAAGGTTCCCCCCCAAAAACGCACAGTTTAGCATTACCCGTATAAACTTCTAAGAGTTTCTGACTTGAGTGCTCCTGCTGTCCTCTGCAATCCTAGTACACACCAGAAGAAGAGACTGGAACCATCTGCCTAAACTTTTAATCTGAAAAGTGTTCCCTATTGCATTCAATCTTGGGGAACTCTCCTTTAGATGAAACTCTGGTTAGCAAGCAAACCAGGATAGGAAAAACACAGCTTGATCTGGCTTGTTTTGAGCTAGCTAGAATTTAGACTAATCAGAGTTCTCCAAATTACACCAAAGGGATTAAAAATATAGGCAGATGCTTCAGATCCCCCTCTTGTGTTTGAAATGAGAAGGGAGGAGGAAAAATTTTAAAGTTTTTTTTAAATTTAATTGCATTTATATCCCACTATTTACTCCAAGGAACTCAAGGTGGAGGGCATTGTTCTCCCCACTCCTCATTTAATCCCCACACCCTGTGAGGTAGGTTAGGCTGAGAGGCAGTGACTGGCCTGAGGTCACCTAGTGAGCTTCATGGCTGAGTGGCCTCCTAGGTCCTAGTCCAACACTTTAACCACTACACCACACTGGTTGAGCAAGCCCAAGGCTTGCTGTGGCTCATTTTTGCAGTGCTAAATTTTGATTTAGCATCATATGTGAACTGCCTGAGGTCTGTGGCAGCAACAAAGTAAGAATTATTGATTGTAGTTTTTGAAGTGCTTTCTTTAAACAGCCACTTAACAAACAGTACTTTTTACAAGGAATCCAAACCTCTCCTCTATTGTGGAATTCCATCCTACCCATTTCCTCCTAGGAATGGTTGTATGCTATGTTTTTGCAAGGCAATTCTATGTTTATACTGCATCTGTTTCATGGTGAATACTCCATGTGTTCTCCATCTGGTAATCATAATAACTCTTAGCAATTATGTAACACTTTTGAATACTGTAGTTGACCTGTTGATATTTATCACAGCAGGGCAAAGTTGAGTTTTCACAGTTTCTATGGCTTGGAAATACCACATGAGTATTCAGCTTTCGGGTGAAATTGCCACCAGGAGATACTGACATCACCATTTCATATTACCAGGAAACAAAGCAAGACTCATACCCTATCCCTTTCTGAATCAGATCAAATGAATCTATATTTATGTGCAACCCTTTCCCTCTTAATTGTAAATGCTTCTAAGTGTGCGTACTTACTATATCATATGACAACTTTTTAAAAACGTTGTCAAATAACTGACACTATTTAGCACAACATTTGAGAAGTGCCATCAAGCATTTTAAAAGTAAGAATGAGGAATTCATGCTGGGTTTAGGAGGGAAGATCTTCACTGACCTGCCCCTGGATATCCGTGGATGTGAAATTTCTACTGTGTCTTCAAGTCTCCTCCACTTAATGGTTCTTTCTGTGTCCACTTTATCTCTTTGGTCACTTTCACTGCTGTCCTTTTAGGATGCATCAGATTGTCAAATTCATTTATTTATTCATTTAAAAACATAAATTTTATTCACTATTACAAGACTTGAAAGAAGATGTATTAACATATAATATAAATGCATTTGCTTGTTTTTGTTTAAACTTAGGAATAACATCTCAAGAAAGCTAACTAACACTGAAAAAAATGCATTTGAAAACACATGTTTGCACTTTATTGTTGTTTATGTGTTAATAAATGTGTCCTTTAGCAAAAATATATTAATACTTCTATGTCACATGCCTCTTAGAATAAATGTTTCCCCAAACTTGAAGTACACACTGTGCTCAATAGGCCATATTCCCAGGTAAATGTGTGACTGCACTCAATTCAATTAGTTGTGCAATTCAGTTGTTGTGGATCCCATAGGAAGTGCCACTATATAACAATGTTTCACATGGAAGGCATGTTCACCAGTGATTTAACCACATGATTTTGGATAATCCAGTGACGTATCTATATGAAAGCAACTGCACTAGAATTTCAGGGTCCCTGTGGAAATGCTAGATAGGGTCACCGCCAGGGTCACATGGAAACAGTTTTTCAGAAGTGTTCACATGGGGCCATTACATTAGAATCGTTCCTTTTCCTGTACAGTGGTACCTTGGGTTACAAACTTAATTCGTTCCAGAGGTCTGTTCTTAACCCGAAACCGTTCTTAACCTGAGGTGCGCTTTTGCTAATGGGGCCTCCCACTGCCACCGTGCCGCCAGCACGTGATTTCCGTTCTTATCCTAGGGCAAAGTTCTCAACCCGAGGTACTACTTCCGGGTTAGCGGAGCTTGTAACCCAAGGTACCACCGTACTAATTTCACGTATGTCTAAGGAACAATGCCTATTGAAGTCACTGGAGTTATGAGTTATTGGGTGCTGAACTGCAGAACCCACAGCAACAGTGCAAACTTATGCATGTCTATTCAGAAGTAGGAGCCATAGAGGTCAATGGTCTTGTTCTCAGATAAGCATAAAGGATTACAGCCTAAGGCACCAATGTGCAACAAAGTTTACTTTATCTGGTTTCTTTTAAGCACATAGATCATGCAAATGGGAAGTTCTATCCAACTAAGTTCTATGCAGAGTAGACCCATTCAAATTAATGGAACTTTGTTTGTCATATCTATTTATTTCCATAGATCTACTCTGAGTAGGACTAGCACTGGCTACAAATACAAGTTTAGGCACATGCTGAAGCAGTTCTGTTCTCCCACCCCATTTCTTTAAACTTAAAAAGTATTAATTCCGTCATAATGAATCCCCCTCTACTTTTCCCCATCTTATTGTCTGAAATTTCAAAGAAAATACTCACAGAGTTACAGGCCTCCCTACATCCTGCTTTACCTGAAAATATGCAACATACTTCATAAAAGATAGGCCAATCCAAACTGGTAACTTATTTACTGGCAGACTTAAAATATAACAAATTCCAGTACATGGAACTGCACATTTGCAAAAAGTGTAACAGCAAATTTCCAGGAAAAAGAAAGATAAACCTCTCAAACATCTTAACCCTACTATCATTAAAGAGGTGACTGATACACACATGCCCAGAGAAAGTGAACACTCCATAGCCAATAGATTTGAATCTGTTTTTGCAGACCCATGGATAATCAAGAGTTTTTATAGGCCTATAAATTGCAACATCAGGTGGGTCAGGGACTATCCCAACCTGTGCACTATGGGAAAATAGGGAAACCCTGGAGCCAAAATCAATTGTTTGTTTTTCTTGTGGCAATTATGTCAGGTTATATATCTTTAGACTTCAAACATTCCTTCTTGAACTTCGGAACTTACCCCACAATGCACCATGCTTCAAGAGATTTAATTCTACATAGACAGTGCAGACGTAAGGATAAGGAACAAGAAACGTATCACCGCGCATGAATCTCAAGTCTGACACTTTTTCCCATTGGTTTAAATCTGATCGGTACAGTTAAGGCTCAACAGTTCAGCAGCACACTGGAGTAAAAGGAAGGTTGCAAAAATTATGGTGTCATTCCTGGTTCAGTTTGGCTGTAGGGAAGACAGGAATGGAATGCTACTGCCTACCTCTGATAGCCACATGCTCAACAAGTAAGCATCCTAGTGCGTGGTGAGAAAATTGTCATCACTTCGCTCTTCCTTGGTCCTGCTGTCACTGCACTACCCAGAGTTAAACCATGGTTTGGGCTTAAGGTTACATCTAAACCCAGTTTCATGGTTTGTCTTGCTCCAGACAAATGAACTGCACCCAATGTTTGTTTTTACATTGCTGCCTGTGGATTGTTTTGAGAGAAACAAACCATGAGGCTGGGCTGAGACCTAAGGTTAAGCCAAACAATAGCTTAGCTCTAGATAGTGTAGTGGTGGCAGGGACAAACAGCCATGATTTTCTCACTGTACACCTGTACACTTGCTCATCCATGCTGAACTACCCTTTGGTTTAGCATTATGTGCAGAAACTAGTAGGGAAAAGAGAAAACACTAATGTATCTGAGTGCAGAATTGGAGGCACCGTGGAGCTTTACACAAAAAGCTTTATGAATTCAATGCTGTACAGTGGTACCTCTGGTTACAAATTTAATTCGTTCTGGAGGTCCGTTCTTAACCTGAAACTGTTCTTAATCTGAGGTACCACTTTAGTTAATGGGGCCTCCCACTGCCACCATGCCGCCAGCGCACAATTTCTGTTTTCATCCTGGGGCAAATTTCTTAACCCGAGGTACTACTTCCGGGTTTGCAAAGTCTGTAACCCAAAGTGTTTGGAACCCGAGGTGTTTGTAACCCAAGGTACCACTGTATTGCAGCATGATAACAGATATAGCACCACAACTTGCAGACCAAATATTTTCTACACTCAAGCAAGGATAACAAGTAAATTTAAGGATAACAAAATAAATCTACTGAATCTGCATATCTTATGAATATCCTATCTCACTCTTCAATGTAAAAAAAAATCAGACTTAAGAAATCAAGCTTAATAATCTAAGGCTCTATGTACTTTGTAGCAAGCTTTGAAAAGAAACTGGGGTATTAAACTCTAAACTGCCACTCACTGAAGGTCAGTAAATCCCATGTTTAAAACCACTATTGTCTCCACACCATTCCTTTTGTCTCTGCTTGGAAAGGGAGGTGGAGGACAAAGAGAACACTTCTGGGAACTGCTTTTGATCCAGGGCTTCCAGTTGCAAATTCTTGATCTAAGAGCTATATAAGTTGTGAGTTAGTTGGCATCTGTCTGTCTCAGGAGCCAGAAAAACAACAAAGCAAGAGAGTGTGAAAAGGTGATTCTGAGCAAAGATGCCATTCTTTGGTACAGATAGGAAAAAGCTTAGAGGGGCAAAAATGATAATAGGCATTTTTTAGGCAACTGACTGATGGTGGGTGGAGACTGCTTCATAAACAGAAATTTACTACTTGGATATTATGTAGAAAACTGACATATTACTGCAGTAAATTACCATAGGCAAATAATGTGCAAAATGTCTCTGATTATTTGCACAAGTATTTTCACTTCACTGAAAAGTGATGTTGCATGTTTGGGAGATTTGCTCAAAAATACTTACGGAATTCAACAGGATTTTCAAAATGCATACCTCATATTGTAGCAGAAGTATGCTTTCTATCTTTTCAAAATGCTGCATTCTTACTTCCAATCAAAATTATACCCAGCTTGCACGAGTTTAACCTTTTTCCTGATCTACAATTCTCACCAGCTTGTGCTTGATTATTAAGCCTTTCCATTTAGATGCCCCTTTAATATTTCACTAGTGCTGATAATTCATTTCTTCTCCGCTTCTTAATGTTGTGGTTTATTCTTGTTTCCCATTTGCCTGATTACCAGCTTAGTAGTGCACACATTCGTTCACGTCCTAGTATAAATGCACATTGTTCTAATTCAAATGCTTTCTGGCTTCCAACCGCTTGTCCCTGTTCCCCATCAGAAAGTATCTAGTGCACACTTCTTCATCCCTGTCCCTGATAAGCACATGTGTGTCTATTTCACTGCCTACACATTCAGTGGCAGCCTGCCACCAATAAGTGTTTCTCTTGCGATTTTGTGAAGTAAGACTCTTCTGTGTTACATATGTCTGACGGGTTGTGTAAAATCCTTTTCCAGATTAGCCTCATGATTATTTATTTTTATTAACAGATTTATAACCACCCCCACCGTCAACACGTGTTCCTTAGACAACTTACACTGATAAAAGGATACATGGAAATATTATCAAGTGTTCAGTAGTAAATGGGCATAGATCATTAAGGTTTCCAAGTATTACTCGAATAGCATCCTGGAAGAATTGAGGGAAATTCTGATACTTTATTAGTGCTTACAAATTTCTGATATTAAACACAGTGTAATAGACTGGATTAGCCAGAGTTCTTGTGATAAGTTTGTTATTATGTTTTATCAAGCTAACTTCTAGATCTCCTGATACTTATCCTCAACCTTCCAGGTGTTGCTGAACTACAACAACTCCCATTATCCCATACTGGCTGAAGCTGATGGAAACTGGGAGTCCAACAACATCTGCACAACCACAGGTTCCTCTGCAGTTGACTTTATTACATCTTCTTCTGCTCAAGCAAAAGGATAAAAAAAGTGTGATGCATCAGTTTCATCTCTATGCTCCCAGTTTCATCTCTGTACTCTGCATACGTAACACACTGAGCCCATTCTACACTGCTTAATAAAAAGAAGACAATAATTAAAAGAAATTATTGTAGGATTGGCATATTGCAGACTTGGCTTTACAAGGACTTCCAGGTAAAAGGGGTGGTGGAGGATTTCAAGAGTTCAGTAGGGAACCATAAGCCAGTCAGAAATGAAGCTTAGTACCATGCAATACAAACATACCATGAGAACAGAAAAATCATAATTGGGACCATATAAGCAAATGTACTACTCCCTCTTACACAAGACAAAGCCATGTTTTTTGCAAGTATCCCTCCCAGCAAACAGGAAACTCCCAAACAAGCATTCACTGTGAGGTTCGAAGCTATCTGAATGGAACTTGAACTTTAAGTGAGTTCTGTTTTCCCAAAGAGGACAAAGTCTAAATTCCACATCTATCACATGACCCTTTCTGAGATAAATGTGCTGCATATCTTACCTGTAGTTCTTCATTGACAATACTTTCATGAAAATCAATATTAACACTGTAAAACAAACATAACAGAATTTAACTGTAGAAATCAAGCGAAAATGGGCATTTAAAACAATTGCAATTACTGTAGTTTAAACTAAAACTAACTGCTCATATATTCTCCTTTCCCCTCCAACGTGGCTTCAAGGATGTGATCAGAATTATCTTGTTATATCTGCACTGGGTCGGTGGGGGGAACTCTGGCTGATTTAAATAATGGTTTTGTTCAAATGAACTAGGGTCAATCCAGAACTAACATTCTGATATTTATAGTAGAGTTATACTAATAATATCAGCAGCAGCTTGTTACAGTATTTGCTGAGTGTTCAGTGTGCTTCACATCACTGCCGGAGGAAGGGGGTGCAGTGGGTGTGGTCCACCCCGGGTGTTATCCCTGGGGGACGGGTGAAATCGCTGCACTGCCCCACCGGGATGCTCGCCGCTGGCGTCGCCCCCTGGGATGCTCGCCCCACCCCCACAGGCTAGCCCCGCCCCCAGGTGCACAGCAGCCCCCGGGTACACAGAGCAGCTAGCTCTGCCTCTGCTTCACATAACTTCTGTTATCCTTACAACAACCCTGTAAGGCAGACCAGTGTTATTAGCTTCACATTGCAGATACGCAGAGGGATGAGAGTGACAGATGGCTTACCTAAGTGAGTTCAGAGATAAAGTTATAGCTTATTCTCTGGGTCATTATGATAAACTAGCTTTAGGTTAAGTATCTGTAATATTCTAATACAATTTTTGATTTTAACAAGTCTCAACCTAAGTTCTTTTGAGATGCTGAGCCTATCTTCTATTTCTGCTTCTTAATTTGAACAATTCCTCAATACTGTGAAGAGTGAAGGCTTTCCGTTAACTGTCTTGTCATACTTACCTCATAGAGTTGCCATATTTGATCTTAAATTTGTAGACATTTGCTCCTGCATGAAAAAACCTTGTCTCAGGCACTGGATATGTGAATGGTTTTAAAGATGAGTGTTCAGAAAACCAGCCTACTTAAAAGAAGAAGAAACACTATGCTAAAACAAATCTTATCACACCAATTCCATTGTTTGTGGCAAGGCAACCAAAGTGTTATGAACTGGCCTAGTTTTAGAAATTTGTCCGGAAGTGTTATGCACAAGTTGACGCTTTATGGGTTCAGCAAATATATTAAAATACAGCAGTTCAGTTTTTGTATGAGGCGAAAATATATGCTAGGATGATTCTCAAAAGTGCAGTTGGAAAGCTGAAAATATGCAGTAATCTTTCCTCAACATGTAGCTCATAAGAACTATTGCTAGTTTTCAAGCCCAGAAGTTTGTTTTTCTTTCCAACGATTGCACTTTTCAGAAAGCGTTACTGCAGGAGTTTGCAACAAAGTGGTAAATTAATATGAATTCAAAACTAAGCTGATCCATTATTCTCTTAACCTTGCTGGTTCTTGGATCATTGGAGATGACAGTATGTTCTTAATAGATTTTAAAGTAACGGCCTGGTTATGAAGATAAGCACTTCTTATTAAGTCATGTTGTGATCCATGCGTAAGCCATAATGCTATAGAACGCAGATTAACCTTCAATTTACTAGGAATCTCATGTAATCGTGCTATTTTATGCCATAACTGCTTCAGTATTTGATATTATAGCCAAAGAGAATTCATTTGTAAAGCAAAATGCAAACATCAACTGAGCAGTGCCACTAAAATAACAGCACTTTCTCAAACTACTAATTTATTACAGCACAAGGGTAGCACAAGCACCAGTCAGTTTATAAATTTTGCAAAACAGGATGTTACTTGGACACTTAAGAAATTTTGTCCTGATGGCGGTAAAATTAGTTTGAGCACTTAGAAAAAGCCCTGCATCAGTACAAACAGGTGGGATGGATCATGGTATTTTATACTGGATACTAATTGCATCCTTTTTTTTTACATATACTGTATTTCACGTATGACAAGTCAGTGTTTTGTGGTGGACAGCTTCCAAATTATAGATGTGAGACAAGGAACGATTTATTGCTGTTTGGCAGAATATTTGCACCAAAATGATTCTCCTTCACAAATGCAACTATTTTTTTCAGAATATACTCATGGTAACTTCAGTTGAGCTGCATCAAAAATACCAAATGATTACAAACAATTTCATCTGGATTTTATTTTCCTCCCAAAGCAGGGAGGAAAAAAGAAAGTCAGGTGGTTCAGAGTTCTGAACCATAAAATTATACATTGCTTGAAGCATAACAACTACATCAGTTGATTAGTCTGATCAAGTTCTGGGTAAATCTCATTATAAATTCAGGAACCACTGGTCTCTCAAACAACACAATTCCAGACAATACAATTCCAGTTGCTACAAGGAATCTATGGGGGGGGGGTGAACGGGACTGATTTACATTTTTTGTCTGATCAACCTAAATTCCTTATTTATTTATTTATTTATTGTCATTTTCTCATTGGAAAGAAAGGAAAGCGCTTTCCCATGATTTCCCTGCCAAAAAGACACACAGAGCTCATCTCTCATATTCTGGCAGTTGTCGGAATAGAAATAGCCATACACATCCCACAGTTGCATGTTGGTACAAGTGAATGTGAGGTCATTGTGTCATTAATAAACTGACCCACAAAATAATTTTTCTAAAAATATGGCAAAACCAGACTCCTGGTAACTTTTCACACTTGTACAACACTTTGTCCAAAGGCTGCCACATCTAAAAAGTTGTTGCTACAAACTTGCATATGCCATATTAATCCTACCTGTTTTCTTAAATTCAATTTTCTTTCTCTCTTTCACACACATATCTAAAATACTCTCTCACTCACATACTTTTTCCAGGTTTTAACTCTACTGACTGTACTTCTGCTCACAAATCCTAACATTAATAAAAATTCAAGGTTATATATCTGGGCAATGTTTCTGAAAAATCATCAAATTGATTTTTTTAATTGCTATTAAGTTATACCAAACGCACCCTCCAAGTCCCAGGCTGCTATATTTCTGCTGAACCTCTTTGACCCATTACGCTGCAGGGACAGATGTTATTCCTCATTCTACATGGATTACGAGTACAGTTTTTAATTCCTGCCTCCGTCACAAATTCTTTAATCCTACCATCAACCACTCAGAACATCCTATGGGGAAGCCTGGATGGTACTGCAGATTTTTGCATGTGTTACAGCTGCTCTGCAATGCAATGCCCAGTGCGGCAGTAGTACAGCAGACAAAAAGAAAGCAGAAACTGCTTGGCTGGAGCTGGAGCAAGGTTGAGAACGCCCTCTCCTGGCAAACTGCAGTCTCTGTTTTCTCTCTTCTAACCCAAACAGGGAGATAAATACAGAAGAGGGCATTCTAATGAAGCTGAACCCATACATGAACTCCAGTGTGAGACAGCCGTTTTACATTTCTAAGAATCATTTCAAAATAAAACAATTGGAAATATTTACAAATGCTTATTTTTGTGTCCTGAGGGCATAATGAAGTCACATAAATAAATAAAAATGTCTGCCTTACTACTGCATCCAATAGTTGGTCAGCACTGTTTACCACACTGGTTGACAGAGGTTCTGCAGGGTTTCAAACATGGGTGCCCTACCCAGGAGATATCAGGGACTGAGAAAATGCAAATCATGTGCTCTGTTCTGGGCTACAGTCCATCCCTTCTTTATATCCTTGTTTATGTCCAGACTAGGCTCTCAAAGCTGCTTACAGATAAATATCATAATGAAAAAAGAATTGCACCAATCATCAACAATATCTGCTTTGTCTAGCAGTAGGCTCTCCAGAGCCCCAGGCACAGGTTTCTGCCAGCCCTGTTACCCAAGATCTTTGAACTAGAGGTGTCTGGAACTGAAACTGAATAAAATAAAAACACCACAAAACTGAATCCAAAGCATGTGACTCTGAGCTATGGAGTCTTCTGTTAACCAAGGATGCCGCAAACTACGGACAAATCAGGATAAGTGTTCTTTAAAGGCCATTTCCTACAGAGTTATAGAAAGGAAGGGGTTACATTTGTCACTATAAATGGGCTCCTAGTGCAGATTTGGAAACTGATCTTCCTCATCAGCTAGGCCTTTTTGACCAGGTTTGTGGTTGTATGTACTGTAGAGTAGTAAAAGAAATAGCCCCAGGCTTTTAAATAGTGAATCCTTTGAGATAGTTGAATTTTAGATCTGCTATACAGTATGTTTTTAGGGACGCTGTATATTTTTCTGTGCTGTTTTACTCTCTGCTGATGAAATCTGTATGCTGAAATTAGTTTACTGTTTTTAATTCTGTGGTTATTATTGTAAAATAATGTTTTATTGTCTATAAGCCACCCAGAGAACACTGTTATGGGGCAGCATGTAAATGCTGCCAATATAAAAGGAAAGCAAACAAGTCAATAAACAAGCAATCCAGGAACTGAAGTTCTATGAGTGACTGAATCTAGGCATCATCAAAAGAAAAAAAGATTTTGCACTAAATTACAACCCTATGATTCTTAGAGAGAGCACAGCAGTTAATTGGCATGAAAGCACTTTAAGTTTGCAATGAAGATATAAGAATATAAGAATAGGCCGGCTGGATCAATCCAAAGGCCCATCTAGTCCAGTATCCTGATCTCACAGTGGTCCACCAGAAACTTGTGGGAAGTCCATAAGCAGGACATGGGTGCACAGCTGATTGCAATTAACAGTTTAGAATATTTCTATTCATATGCATAAGTGAAAGGGAAGAGGGATAGGAAACCATGAATATCAATATTCTAAACAGTTTGCTATAAACAAGCCAACTTGATTTTATTTTCCCTCCAGTTCTCAGTATTGCCAATCTGCTTAAAACAGCAATAACAAAACTATAAATCTTTCAGTTAAGCAGTATATGGCCACAGAGATCATAGAATAACTTTTGCTCTCAGGTTTGTATTGCCTTGGAATGCTATAGAAACAGGAGTAGAGAAAAAGTAAGGCTACAGATAGCAGATTATTTGTTTAGAGTATATTGAAAGTGGTGGCATGTCAACAAGCACTGGCACATAGTATGCAAACCCTCCAAGTGTCCTCCCTATTTTCCAGGGACATCCCTGATTTAGAGAAGCCATCCCAGTTTCTGATTTCCTTAGAATGTCCCTATTTTCATTGGAGAAATGTTGGAGGGTATGGCATTATCCGACCCCTGAGTCATCTGAAGGCAATTCTGTATAGGGATTTTTTTTAATGCTTAATTTTTTTAATGTCTTTATGTATGTTGGAAGGTGGCCATAGTAGGCAACCCTGTAAAGTTGTGTGGGGTATAAATAGTAAAATTATTATTATGGAATGGGACGTCCCTATTTTCATCAGAGAAATGTTGGAGGGTGTGTAGTATGTATACTCATCCCACTATCTGTGTTTTTCAACCTTTTTTGGGCAAAGGCACACTTGTTTCATGAAAAAAATCACACAGCACACCACCATTAGAAAATGTTAAAAAAATTAACTCTGTGCCTATATTGACTATATATAAAGTGATTCTCTTGAATAGGAATCAAATAAACACAAAGAAAGTATTTTATAATTACTTTATTATGAAATAGTAAGTAAACAGAAATATGAAAAATTATAAAATACTTTATTTTTAAATCTTTCGAATTTTTCAATTTTTCCCACGGCACACCAGGCAACATCTCGCGGCACACTAGTGTGCCGCGGAACAGTGGTTGAAAAACACTGCACTATCTTATTTGGCTTATAGGTATTGCAAGCTTTTGTGGTATCTCAGGAACTGCAAAACCAGTGCATCCAGATCTGGCCCCACCATTAGACATAGTGAAGCAGCAGCCTCAAGCAGCAAATGCTGGGGAAAGGCAGTGGCGTAGCGTGGGGAGTGCAGGGGGGGCCGGCCGCACCGGGCGCAACATCTGGGGTTAGGGCAAATCTACGGGTTAGGGGGCGCAAATCCACAGGTTAGGGGGCGCAAATCCACGGGTTAGGGGGCACAAATTACTTGCCTTGCCCCGGGTGCTGACAACCCACGCTACGCCGCTGGGGAAAGGTGCAGTATTTGAGGGAAAAGTTGTGTGCCCTGCACCTGCCAAGCTAGCCTGCTGTTTGACTACCAATATTGAAGTAACATTCAGTTGCCAGTCTGGTTACCTTTTGTACATGGGGATAGCACCATCATGTCGTCTGCTGCAGGCAGCAAAATGTACTGGATGGCCTGTACAGATAAAAAAAAAATCAGTGCATCCTATTTACAAGCAATTATACCTTTATCTCATCACCTCTGACTAAAAATCTTATAGCACAATCCTATGCATGTTTAATCCAGAGGTTTCACAGGATCTGACACTGCAGTAAGCACAAGATTGGAGCCTAAAATTTTGTAGGCACTCAAGTGTTTTGAAAAAAAGGGTGTGTGCCTTTCATCCAACCTGTTTTTGTGTTGTTGTTTTTTCATAATCACTAAGTACCCCATCCTAACAACAATACATTATCAGAAATATGACTAGATTTATTATTATTATTATTATTATTAGGGGATCATATAGAAAATAATGCCATTTCAATGGTACTTTTGAAACCAGTAAGATATATCCCATTTGGAAAGAGAAACAATGTGGAGCAGGCAACCGTTTTCTAACAACAAAATACAAAGAGAGTCACAAGCACGGCATATTTATGTACAGTCCTTACAATCTATTCCAGTTAATCGGGAAGCACTTAATCAGGAAATCCACTTAACTGGGACATCTCCCAGGAAACCAATCTAGCCTAATGATGGTGAATGAAAAAGATGATGGGCCATCTTGCTGGGTATTTAGAATATACATTTTGTTGTAGCTCTCGTCTTGCTTCCCTCCCCTCCGCACCCAGCTCCACTTACTCCTACTAAATAAAAAAAGAACAAGAGGGCATTGATTAACCAGAATACTAAAAGATCAACTTTTGTTAAATCTGAGAGAGCATTATGCAACAATTCTATTTTCTTATAGAATTCATACTGCCAACTCTCATTAGCCATCCGTGGCAAACAAACCAAGAAAAACATCAGTACATTTGTATCCTGCAGCCCCTCACACACTCATCCAAAATCTTCTCCAGAGAAGCTACCACTGGCGGTACTTTTGCTGGTGGTAGCAGCCATTAAGCCCCCAAATGGGGCCTTCTGGAAGGCAGGAAGGAGAAGCCTCAGTTCATTAGAGAGGCTTTGGATTGACCCTTTCTCTATGCCAACATATAGCTGGGGTGTGTGTACACACACACACACACACACACACCCCTTTTACAGTGGTAAAGGTAAAGGGACCCCTGACCATTAGGTCCAGTCGTGAACGACTCTGGGGTTGCGGCGTTCATCTCGCTTTATTGGCCAAGGGAGCCGGCGTACAGCTTCCGGGTCATGTGGCCAGCATGACTAAGCCACTTCTGGCAAACCAGAGCAGCGCACGGAAACGCCGTTTACCTTCCCGCCTGAGCGGTACCTATTTATCTACTTCAGTGTTTCCCAACCTTTTTTGGGCAAAGGCACACTTGTTTGATGAAAAAAATATCGAGGCACACCACCATTACAGCCCCGTGACGTCAGCGCGCAGCGTCACGCCTGGAGGGACGCACGAAAGTGTAACTTTCAATTTTTTTCCCTCCCCCTTGCCGGGGAACCTCCAAGCTTTGGGGGTGGGGGGGGGAGGAGGCAGCAAAGCGAGGGACTGAGGGACCCTAACCCTAACCCTCACCGATCACCCGGGAAAGCATGCGAACGAGGAGCCCCTGTGTCCTGCTCCCGGCAGCGGACGGCACAAAGCGAGGAGGCCTGGACAAGGCAGCACGCTCCCCGCTCTCGCTGCATCGGGGTTTCTCCTCCAGGCCGCTTTCGAAGTCCCCTTCTCCGCTCCCAAGAGCCGGAGCCGCTGCTTCCAGGCCCTGTCCGAGCCCCGACTTGTGGCCTCACTTCGAGGAGCGCCTGTTGCTGGGGACGGGGCTGCATCCCCCTCAGCCGCCGCCTCGCTTCCTTCCAGGAGACCCGACGGCTCCCCCTCTCCCGCTCGCCCTCCTGCGCCCGCAGCAGACCGAGACCTCCCCGCCCCCGCCCGGCTCGGCCCTACCTGGGCGCCTCCAAGCCCGGCCGGCTGCGCGTCGCGCTCCACGCCGGGCAGCTGCAGCAGGGGCTGCGCAGGGGGGCGCGGCGGCCCGGCTGAGCGCGCCCCGGAGCCGCCGCGCCGTCGCTCGCGAGTCCCTCCGAGAGCCCGCGGGACTGACTCCGGAGTCGCGAGGCGGCGCGTCGCCCAGGGAAGGGGCGGCTTCCCACAAGCACGACGACCGAAAAGAGCCCAGCAGAGCGCGCGCCCCGGAGGACTTGGGGGGGGTCTGTAGGGCATCAGTGGCCCCCAGAATTCTGCCCGCCCCTCGCCCCATTTGATCCAGATTTACCCTCTGGGGAGAGCGAGCCCCGGCCCAGCAGGGGCCGCCCTCGCTCCGTCCTCCGGGAAGCAAACGCCCTCGCCCGCCTCCCTCCAGGCAACATCTCGCGGCACACCAGGCAACATCTCGCGGCACACTAGTGTGCCGCGGAACACCGGTTGGGAAACACTGATCTACTTGCACTTTGACGTGCTTTCGAACTGCTAGGTTGCCAGGAGCTGGGACCGAGCAACGGGAGCTCACCCCATCGCAGGGATTCGAACCGCCAACCTTCTGATCAGCAAGTCCTAGGCTCTGTGGTTTAACCCACAGCGCCACCCGCATCCCACAGTGGTACCTCGGGTTAAGTACTTAATTACAGTGGTACATTGGGTTAAGTACTTAATTCGTTCCGGAGGTCCGTTCTTAACCTGAAACTGTTCTTAACCTGAAGCACCACTTTAGCTATTGGGGCCTCCTGCTGCCGCCGCGCTGCGGGAGCCCGATTACTGTTCTCATCCTGAAGCAAAGTCCTTAACCCGAGGTATTATTTCTGGGTTAGCAGAGTCTGTAACCTGAAGCGTTTGTAACCTGAAGCGTATGCAACCCGAGGTACCACTGTATTTGGAAGTGGAGCGGGAAAGCACAGTGCTTTTTTACTGGGGGTACACAGGGGTACGCATACCCCTAAACATTTTGTGAATCTTTGTGCTTTTGTCCATTTACTGTATTTATTTTTCCTGATTTGAACTATAAAATGGTGATTTTCTTGAGTCAAAATGAGAGTACCCCTAAACATTTTTTAAAGTAAAGAAGCACTCAGTTCCAGCACCTCTCAGATGGGCGCCATTGCCATGAGTTCCAGAACACCTCTTTTTCTAGAAAAATAGTACTGTACAGTGGTACCTCGGGTTAAGTACTTAATTCGTTCTGGAGGTCCGTTCTCAACCTGAAACTGTTCTTAACCTGAAGCACCACTTTAGCTAATGGGGCCTCCCATTGCCGCCGCACGATTTTTGTTCTCATCCTGAGGTAAAGTTCTTAACCTGAGGTACTATTTCTGGGTTAGTGGAGTCTGTAACCTGAAGCGTTTGTGACCTGAAGCGTATGTAACCCGAGGTACCATTGTATTTGGAAGTGGAGTGGGAAAGCACAGTGCTTTTTTACTGGGGGTACACAGGGGTACGCATACCCCTAAACATTTTGTTAAGCTTTGTGCTTTTGTCCATTTACTGTATTTTTCCTGATCTGAACTATAAAATGGTGATTTTCTTGAGTCAAAATGAGAGTACCCTTAAACATTAAGTAAAAAAGCACTCAGTTCCAGCACCTTTCAGGTGGGCACCATTGCCATGAGTTCCAACACCTCTTTTTCTAGAAAAATAGCACTGTATATAAAAATACAAGTGGCAAAAAAGAGGCTAAGAGCATCCCCTCACACCTTTTAATCTGGATGGCCCCGTAGCGTCAGATTTAGGGCATTGCAAGGCAGTTCCAGCATTCAGGGTGCCAACAACTTTATTTATATGGGCACCGACTGAGAAGATTCATAAAAAAGCAACTACCAAAAGGAATTATTGTGGAAATAAAGTTTTTTTATTGGGGGGGGGGATTTTCTCCTGCCTCAGGGCACCATATTACCAAAGTTTGGCCCTGCTCCCTGCCTGTCCGACTTATGACTGCACTCTTAACAAAACACCAAACACCTTGGTTAGTTGTTGTTGTTGTCTGTTTGTTTAACAACACGCTACTCAAATGGCAATAAGTTTGTGAGGGGAAATGGTGTTTATGGGTTTTCTTCATCAGCTTTCCCTCCACATGTATAAAGATCTCCTCGTTCTGGAACAGTATTTCCCTCAAGCCCAGACTTATAACGAAGTTATTGGAACAAACTTTATGCCCAATCATCAGTGCGATTGGAGAGTGAATTTCCCTTGGAATATATATATATATATATATATATATATATATATATATATATATATATATAGAATTTAAACAAAACATATTATCTTAAAACATATCATCCTTGATTCTCCCCCCCCCTCATAAAATGACACACACACACACCCCGACTTCCCTCAGCTCCTGTCTCTGGTTTCTCTACAGATGCTATTCTCTGCATGTTACAAAACTCTATAAATCCTTATTTTATCTGACTGGTTATTGTCAATAAAAAGTTTGTGTTTATTCAAAACCTGCCAAGGAGTCCAATTCAGTTTGTTGTTTCTTTAAATACTTTGTAAAAGGTTCCCATTCATCTTTAAAGTCCCCTAGTTTATGTGTCAATTTTGCCAATTCCCTTGGAATATATTTTGGAGTCACAAAGGAACACGAAGCCAGTTTTCAGATACTTTCATCGTGAGCCTTTTCTACACACACACCAGTTGTCCTTTTTAGAACGACTTTCCCCTCCGTCCTTGCTTTAAGGCCAACCCTTATTTGGAGACCTTTATGGTCTCTGATCAGCCTGAGGCAACTGAGCCTGAGCATGTGGGAGAGAAAGGCATAAAAGTACGGGATAAGGCTTTGTGACTGAAGAGTAACCTCTCAGAACATATTTCCAAGCTCCCAATTTAATATAAAAGAACAAGAAAGCACAGCGGTCTCCTAATCTGTGGGAGGTGGAAGTGGGGAAAAGACCCACTAAGTTGCTGCTACATGTCTCCTCCTGGGAAGCTGTCCTTTTCCACAATTAGCTTCCTTCTTCCGTTAACATTTCTTTCCAGTCTATCAACACTGAGGGGAAAATAAGCAGAGGAGAACTGAATACACGTGTCAATAAAAGAAGTACAGATGGAGGATTTGCAAGAGCAATGTGTCCACTGTGTTGTGTGTGTGAGAGAGAACAGGACAAGGAGGAGGGCCTGTGTTGCAACTCCCTCCTCAGATCCTCTTCCTCCTCTTTTCCTTTTGCCCCTGCCGCCATTTTGTCCTCACAAAATTAGGCCTTCCATTGTTTTTATGCCTTTCGTTGTACAGCTCCCCCTGCTGGAGCTCAGAGCAGACGCCAGAATAGTTTCTGGTGACTTCTAAACATTGCAGGCAAAACAACGGCATGCAAAAAGTGACATTTTCACCTCAAGTTGCAAAGATTTGGCCCCTGCTGGCGAGAGTAAGGGTTCCCTCAGCAATGGCCTTAAACCATGGGTAGGCAAACTAAGGCCTGGGGGCCGGATCCAGCCCAATCGCCTTCTAAATCCAGCCTGTGCACAGTCCGGGAATTAGCGTGTTTTTACATGAGTAGAATGTGTCCTTTTATTTAAAATGCATCTCTGGGTTATTTGTGGGCCATAGGAATTGTTCATTTTTTTTCCCTCTTCAAAATATAGTCCGGCCCCCCACAAGGTCTGAGGGACAGTGGACTGGCCCCCTGCTGAAAAAGTTTGCTGACCCCTGCCTTAAACCTTCCCGTTTTCTTCTTAAAAACCTTAACCTTTGTGCAAGGAACCCACACAGTTACATGCTGCCCTTTGAAATAATTTTCTGCCCGTTCTGTACCTAAACAGCTAGTTTTGGAGCATATGCCTGCTTTCTCAAAAAGACAGTTGAGGCGACCAACAAGGGCAACCCACATTCGATTTCAAACTGACCTCCAATCTCAGTCTCCAATTTAATATGGGGAGAATTATACCAGTACACATATAAG